TTTTGCCAAAATATAATTAATGCTAAACCAATATTTCAAAACTTTAGCCATTCCACCATTTAAATTTATATCAGGAAATACTGCTAACGATAAAACTTAAAATAATTGCTCAAATTATTACACTTATCTCAGTATATAAAATATGAAGAATGTATAATAAATTAAAAAATTTACAGGTTTGGATGTTGTATCCATCAAAGAATGAAACCAGTCTATAATGCTCATATGACAATACTAACTAATGCTTATATATTTTTAATTATATCCAAAAAGTACATTTTTTCTATGGGATATCTATGAATGTTCTGAGGCAATATCAATAATGCATGGTACACTTAGATAAGGACTGAATTCAGTTTGGGCAATTCCTAGCATTAAAATTTGTGCCTTCTGGATTGATTTTCATTCCTGAATTATGTGTGATTGATTCTTAATCCTATAATTACTGAATGACCTCTGGCATTAAATTCAGAAGCCTGTGGTTTTTCTGTCGTTGAATTTTCTTTGAATCTTCAGTTCTAGTATGGGCAGAGACCTATTGCAGTTACAGGATTTCTTCAGTTAACATATGACATCAGATATTATTTTACCTCATAGGCTGCTTTAGAAATTATTATTATATATTTCCTCTTTTTTCCCAAAGCAGATTGTAAAATGGCATATTGAAGGAGTTTTCATGATGTCTGCACGTACATAGTATGTATCTTACAGAACTCAAAACTGATTAGCCACAGGACATTAAAATTTTGTGCAGTCAAAAGTCATTAATTTGGACACCCATAATTCGGACCTCAAAGCTACAAACTTTCTTCATTTGCGTCGCGTTCACACATGCGCGTAAGACTTTTAAGGCTGCGAATATGCATGTGCGCAATACGTTTACGCTTGCCCATTGAATGTATAACTGACGGTATAAGCTAAGCTAAAATTATCTAATTCAGTTAATGTTGCAGATTGCATTGTTCCTGAATCTTTGAATTGGATCCGGCCTTATTATTTTTTGCAGACTGTTAGAGCAATTTTATAAAAGTAAGCTTGAACTTTCGATTATGTCAAATAGAATTTCCGATATATATTTACTAATATATAAAGGATCTACAAAGCGAAAGTATGTTTCGAAGTTCATTAAACAAAAAGTGGAATTGCTACAAAAAATGGATATAGGCATATCCTTTGTTTATCTTTAACGCTGCGGCACGCAATGAATTGGAAGTTGATCTGTCAGCACTATCCTTATCTTCAGGGCAGATGTTTTTATTTTATTTGGCTTATAATTCCTTACTAAATGTAGTATTTCATCTCGATGTACTCCGTCTTTGATATGATATAAATCAAATTCCTCGTCATTATAATTCGCTTCCGATAAAGAAGAAAGTGATACAGAGGTTATTGGAAACAAAAAAATTTCGATTGACAAATTAGTCGGTATTCTCGACACAGCAATTATAGGACTTTAACAGCGGAACTTTGCAACTGAAGAAGAAATTATGTCTGTTTATAGAATTAAAGAGAAAGTATTATCACATAAAACGAAGCAACTTAAACAACTTACATTGAAAGAAATGTTTAATAAAGTAAACAAATAAATATTAAGTTTTTTTTTTTTTTTTTTTTTTTGTAAATTTTGATACCCTTTAGATCATAATTGTTCTTTATTTCATAAATTATGGTTTAATATTTTTAATTTTATAATTTCTGCATGCCATCTTACCAGATTTAAACTGATGATCTATAATCCGGAATTGCCGAAGTCCCAACGAGTCCGGATTAACGACTTTTGACTGTATATAGGACTGCTATACATACAGTTGTGTTCCTTGCTTCTATTGCAATCAGCAAAACTGAATGTGTGTATACACACACACATGCCTGTTTACCTGGCTTGAAAGTACTTCCCCAGCCTTTATTTTTGCAATCATTGGTCGTAGTCATGTACTTCTAACCACAGAAGTGTTTTAAATAAAAATTATTATGTCTTAGCAGTATTAAATTTTAAAAAATTAATATTTGTCAACTAATGAAATCTTAATAATGTCTATGTAGTTAGTCTAACAATATTTAATGTCAGTTTACTGTTGTAAATATCCAATAATATTTAATATCAGTTTATTGTTGTAAATATCTAACAATATTTAGCATCAGTTTATTGTTGCAGCAAAAAAAAATCTATAATTTAATACACCATAGAAAGAAGTCATGTGGTATCCAAATCAGATTTTTAAAAATTTGGTGACTTAAATGCTATACCATCGCATTAGTAAATATGAATCTAGTAAGTGTTTACTTAGACATTACATGCACTAATGAGATTTCCATAACAATGAATTTACTAATTTTGGTGTAAATGTACAGAAGATACACACATATTATGTACATATAATAAATAAGAATGAGGAAATACCCTCTAGTCTGGATAGCATATGGTTTTCACAAAAACTGAAGTCGTACTTCACGCTCTTGTTTTAAATATTTACGTTCTGGAAAATTTTAGGCAAATAAAATGTAAAAAATTTATTACATTTTTTATACTCTAAGACAAGATCTCTGAACTTGGTGATCCTACTTACTCAAGAAAATGCTTTTGCAACCCTGAAATATATAAATTAGGAGTATGAATTAAAATATCTGGTGGTGATAAATCATACAAAAAAAAAAAAAAAAAAAAAAAAGGCTTCCATAATATAAGTAAATCTAATTTTACCATGTATTAAATACAAATATTCATATTGTAGTAATATTCATATATTTAGGAGTATGAATTAAAATATCTGGTGGTGATAAATCATACAAAAAAAAAAAAAAAAAAAAAAAAAAGGCTTCCATAATATAAGTAAATCTAATTTTACCATGTATTAAATACAAATATTCATATTAATGGGTTACAGCTGATTGAAAAGTAATTAAGGAGAAATAGAAAGCAATAATATTAAATGGTTTTGCAAAAATTCCTTCTGTTACGGAAAGCATAAAGTCCACAAAAAAAGGTGATCAGATTGTACATTTCGATAATATATATATTTACATTTCAAACGTTAATAAAATGGTTCAAAAATAATCTTAAAAATATGTCAATACCCTCTGTATTTTTATTTAACATCAAATTCAAGACAATGTTTATAAGATAGTCAATAAATTATATCTGTAAAAAATAAATAAAATAGAAGTTATTTGTGTGTAATACAGCCTTATTTTACATGATTTATTTGGTTTCTAAATTCTATAATTCATAGAACGTTTGCAGTGAAGTAAATGTCTTTCAAATATTAGTGATGAGATTTTAAATGCTTTATGTGCATTCCTCTTATTTCATGATACATATTTAAGCAATACTCTGACTCAGCTCACACATACTGTAATATTTCTTAGCTGATGGTAACTACAGCAGTTATAACTGACAGTAGGGAATATAAACATTATCTTTTACATAATTCACAAAAGAAAAAAAAAATCATTGGGCATTATGCTGGGAGAACTCTGTGGCGATCTTTAAATAGTGCTAAGTAATGTTGACCAATCCAACAATGTAATAAACCATCATTCAGGTAGATGGTTATCTCACTGTGTCAATAACATGCTGCCCAGATGCGATAGTGGTTAATGATGCTGATTGTCGTACCAAAGGGCCCAATTTCAAATCCCTGAAAAGGCATGAATGTTTGTATTCAACTTGAGTGCCCCTACATAGCAAGGATGCACTCAAAGTACATGGTGAACTGGTCTTGAGAGGCTGGCTCGTACTGCAACCTGGGATGATTTCCTTCAGAACTTAATTCGGGATGGAAACTTGACAGTTAGCAAGGCTCAGCAATACTTAATATGATTACTTGAATGCCAGCCTTGCTTCAACCTGTACTTGTGTCAATAAGGTGCTGACCAAACAGGCTAGTAGTTAGTGATGCTGACTGCCGTTACCAAAGGGCCCAGGTTCGAATCCTGGAGAAGGCATGGATGATTGTAAGCATAGTGTCTGTGTGGTAAGGGATCACTAAACACACAAAGCAAGCTAAAATCATCTCAAGAAGTTGGTGGTAGGGGATGAGGGGCAGGAGACCATCGGAATTCCATTTAGAGTGGAGTTTAGCAATCAGCAAGGCCCCATAATACCTACTTGAATGCAAAGGTGCCAGTCTTGCTTCAACCTGTATGAATAAGGTACAGCCTTATCTTACTTGAAAATGAATTATTTTTTTGAGGAAATAGCAATAATTGTGATAAATAGTAAAGTAAACATTTTCACCTCAAACTACTGCAAGAAGCCATCAAAATAAATTACTAGTCCAAGCAATTGATTCAATAAGCTACAGAATAGTCTTAAGTGATAAAAATACTGTACATATTTTTTTTATTAATACTACATATTAAGCTTTTGTGATAAGTTATGTATGGTAGTAAATGAAGAAATCAAGACTAGAATCTCATGCACATTTCATATATTCAGTTTTTTCAATATTTCTAGGGTACTGATAAAATTAAATTTATAATATTTGTCTAAGTTTCTGAAAGTACTGTGAACACAGAGAAAATTTTACAGTATATTAAATGAGGTGCATATATGAATTAAGCAGTTCAAATATTCACTTTTGGAATAATTTATTAATGAAATATTACAGATGATGTAATATATACAATAATATAATTAGATACTAATTATCATGACAAATGAAAACTGGCAACATGCGTTCTGAAGAATAGTCTTGTATATATGCTGAAGAGAGAGCAGTCACTTGGTGAGGTATTGAGATCAGAGGCACATTTATTAATCTCTTGAAAGTCAACTTCAGTTGTTCCAGCTGGTCAAGGATATATGAACTGTTTAAAAGAAATGCTTTTCTTTTTTTTTTAAAAAAAAAAAAAGGTGAAAAAAAATATAATACTCCCCCCCCCCCCCCCCCCCCCCCCCCCCCCCCCCCCCCCCAATGAAAGTTTTTATAAATTTTTTCATGATTTAATAGAAAAATATCACAAAGTTTTTTCTTCGTGGTGTTTAGACAATATAATTTTTATTTTTTTTTTGTACAAAAATGACCTCTGGATAAATTTCCTTTCTTCTCGTGATCCGTAGATAAATGGCAACTTTCAGATTGTAATGTCAGAAATTCACTTATATTTTTTAACATTGAATTTACCTCCCCAATGACTTCCCTTTTTCTGTGAGAATTTAAATTACATATTTGTTGTTTAATTTTTTCCAACATCAGCTCTGTCTCACTTATATCTGTTTCAGGATTATGAGATTTTAATGAATTAAATATTCCGGCTGTATTTAACTCATTTGCATTTTTATTTGAAAATGGCAATATATTTTCATTTGAAGATGGCATTTCTACTGTATTATTATTTGAATGTAGTAAATCACTTTTTGAACCAATTTTCCGCACAACCAAATGAATATGTTTGCATATAACATTCCGTATCAAAAAGTCTAAACAAGAACAATTTACAGCATGAATGCATACGTTGCATAAAATACATTTTATGTGACACTCGCAAGTAAAGTCATTAATGCTAACTATATAATTGTGTTCTGATTTTGAACTTTTAACAGAATATAATGATTTATCTTCTATTTCTTTCACAGAATTGAAATTCATATCAAGACTATTCTTATGCCGATTAGAAATACATTTAATTTTATTTGAAATTTTTCCTCTTTCTAATTTTGTCAATCTAGCAATTGCTTTAGTTTTCACATATTCAAAAATTTGGTAAAGACAACTATCTAGGCGGTGATTTACTTTAGCTTTGAGGAAGTTGTATTTAAAATCTCTATGAAATGCTTCAATATGCATATTTGTATTAATGCCTGCATTTAGTCTGTAACAGGCAGCAATTTCTGTCAAACGGTGACTGTACGTACTTAAAAAATATTTGCCAAATAATGATACATTGTCATCTGAATCAAACATACATGATAAATGCTTAAAAATTATCTGAAATTTTCTTTCATCTTTTTCACGAAGTAAAACTATAACAGATTTATACACTTGACATGCAAGTTCCTTATCTTTGATTAATGCTTGTATTTTTACTCGGATTGCTTTTTCTACATGCCATGCACAAAGCAGTTTCTTTGGTCCTGCACCAAAAATGTCTACCCATGCATTGTAGAATGCAGGAGCGTCATCTGACATAAAAATTTTAGGGGTAAAATTTTCCAAAATTTTTCCTTTAATAAGTGAAAAAAAAATCTTTAGCACTGATTTATCTTCTCGATTGCAAATACAAAAGGCTACTGGGAAACCCTCATCATATTCATCTACAACTAATAATGTTATTAAATTAAATTTATATTTATTAGTACCATGTGTTGAATCAACACACACAATACGTTTTCCAAAAGTTTTTAACATTGCTAGCTGAATTGGATGTTGCAAAGCAAAAAAAACATCATCTGTATTTAAATCTTTGAATTTCCCTGTTGCTTCAGTACCTTGAAACTTGTAACCTAGAACAGGGTTACTCATTTCATCATTTGACAACTCATTCAAAAGAAGGGCAACACTAGTTGCATCATTTTCATGCCTTTTAAAATCACAAAGTTTCATTGCACTTTGAATATTATATATATCCTGTCTGTTAACTAAATGAAATCTACTAGGCTTAAGAGATGTTAGTAATTTATCTTGAATGCCTTTAAGAATTTCATCAATACTAACTTTTTGTTCCAGTTTTGATGCTATCATTTGTTTTTCATTTTTTGTTAAGTATAACAAACCTATATTTTGTTGGTGACCATAATGTTGTGGGAAAAGCTCAACAGATAAGATTCCATCATTTTTTAAAGTTACTGTCATTGTACAAGTACAAGAGAACCCAATTTTCTTTGACTTTGCATTCATTCTAATATTTTCACTTTTTACAGTGTGGAAACCACTACGGTGACAATAAAAATACTGTTTGTGCTCATTATCAATACACTCTTTTTCACCATTTTTTTTAACAAAATTTATATCTTCTAGAGCTTCATAACTGTTTTTCCAATCCTTAAATTCTTCTACTGTTTGGAATTTCAGAACTTGTTTTGAAAATAAAATGCCATGGCAAATTGTTAAATGTTGACGCAAAGCTTTAGCAAACCGAAAAGACTGTTCACAATTCTGTTCAAAGCAAATGAAGCTTGTTTTTGAAGTACCTAGAGGGGGAAAAAAAAAAAAATGGTTGAAGGAGGGGTAAATATTAATTTTAACCCTTTAACTATGAGTAAAATTATATGCGACCATACCAGCAAATGCAAACATTTGTGAAAATTAAGATTTTGCAAAATTTCTTTATTCATATTACATTTAGCTTTAGAGAGGTTGGAAGTGTAACCAGCAACTTTATTTAAATTCTTAGGAGTCAGATTCAGGAGACGCATTTTATCCCTGACACACATCTGCTTGATGGCTATAAATATATCAGCAGAGAGTTGCGGTCAAACAGAACGCCCTCTCTCACCAAGATTCCCCTCATTTTATAATTCCACCAACTCATACCCTGATGCCCTCATTCTATTTCGCCCTGTTTTTAGCATTATATGAATTTTCATCAGCTATACTTTTAAGTATATTTAAGTTTTGTAATGTAAAAAGAACTCCTCCCCCTACGATCAGAGCTAAAATTGGGCCGGAGCCCACCGGTACTTCTTATTTTTTGTAAAAAATCATAATTCTAGCCGGAGTGCATGGAAGCCCTAAATAAGAAGGCTGCTGCACTTCTTTTATGTAACTGAATAACAATTTCCGTAGAAATTTTATTTCGAAAATTTTAATTTTAGCATTAAAATTATATTAAAAAATCCCTTATTAAATTTAATTTATCTCTTTACATTTAATTTTAATTATTTAATTACTGCAATAAATAATAATTATATAGCAAAATCTGCTCATCCCATGAATTCCGCGGACATGTGTTTTTCTTCCTTTATTGAGGAGCGCATCCCATTTTTTCCCTGTTTAACCATTGAAATAAATTATATACAGTATTAAATGTTTAGTTTACGTTTTGGCAACAGATATTGTTAGTTGTCCACTAAATTACGGCATTTGAAAGGCACGTGGTATTACTGCTCAAACTTCACTTTTTGCCGCTTTTTCTTACAGAAATGGCAGCTAGAAAACGTTCAGCGATTATCTTGATTATTTAATTAGATTATTGAATTATTAATTAGATTTATTGATTAGATTAATAATAAGATTTATTGAATCTGGTGCAAAGACTGTGAAGTTGGACTTTGCTTTGAACCCTGTTTTGAACTCTATCATACAGTCAAAAGTAGTTAAGCCGGACTCGTCGGGACTTCAGCGATTCCGGATTATAGATCATCAGTTTAAATCTGGTAAGATGGCATGCAGAAATTATAAAATTAAAAATATGAAACCGTAATTTATGAAATAAAGAACAATTATGATCTAAAGGGTATCAAAATTTACAAAAAAAAAAAAAAAAGCTTAATATTTGTTTACTTTATTAAACATTTCTTTCAATGTAAGTTGTTTAAGTTGCTTCGTTTTTTTATGTGATAATACATTCTCTTTAATTCTTTAAACAGAATAATTCTGTTCAGTTACAAAGTTCCGTTCATTGTTCAAGTTGATTTCGGAATGATTAGAGAATCAAAGGATATGCCTTTATCCATTTTTTGCAGCAATTCATGTTTTTGTTTGATGGACATCGAAACATGCTTTCGCTTTGTAGATTATTTGATAGCTCCAGAATCGGAAATTCTTTTTGACATAATCAAAAGTTCAAGCTTACTCTTATAAAATTGCTCTAACAGTCTGCAAAACATAAGACGGTTCCAATTAGAAGATTAAGTAACAAAATCTGCAACATTAACTGAAATAGATAATTAGATAATTTTAGCTTAGCTTATACCATCCGTTATACATTAAATGTGCATGTGTAAACGTATTATGCATATGCGTATGCGTAAACGTATTATGCGCATGCGTTCCGGATTATAGATCATTTCAGATTAAAGACTTTTGACTGTATATAGATTTAAAATAGATACATATATATAAAAAACGACAAATTTTGAAGCGATTTCGGTCCACAAATTGAGCGGTCAGATGGTTAATGAGTTTAAAAGTCATTTTATTTATTTATTTACTCTTGTTCCTCTTTGCTGGATATCTTCCATAGGGCTTTAGCACTTCTAATTTTAGAAATTAAACCCTGCCCAATGTTCCTTTGCAAAATGTGGAAATAAAATGCACATCCTTTTTATCTTTCAACTTAAGAGCCAAAATTTTTGCATTTTCTTCAGCTTAAATTATTTGACAGCGTTTAAGTGTTTTAAGTGTTAAGTGCTTTCAGTTTTTCTTGACTTTTTTTCTTTCAGTTTTCCCCATAATCCAATGCCATTTTCAACCAAATAGGCTGCCAACTTTGGGCTGCTGTACCAATTATCAGTACATAGGGGGTGGTTTTTCTTCCGATAATTTTCTATGAGCTGTGCCTGCGATGCCAAGTGGCAAGCATTATAGTGCCTGCGATGCCAAGTGTTTCATCTTGTGGTATATCTTTGATGCAACCAATGTAAACCAAAATTTTCAAAATAATTCTTGTTTCATAATCACACAACAAAAACAGTTTTAGTCAAAATTGATGTCACTTTGAAGGAATATATTGTTTGAATGATAACCTGCCTTTAATAACACAAAAGACTTATCACTACATATTTTTTGAAATGGTGAAAAATATGTAAAAAATTTGGCATTTAAATTTTGAAACACATCTCGAATTTTCCACGGCCTATGGAGTTTTCTGGTTGTTTATCATTATCCGCAAATTTTTGTGTATCTGTTGTGAGTCATATATTTGCTATAAAAAAAAAATCTGTTCGTTTCATTGTATTTTTCGACCAGTACTCAGATATGGTACTCTTCTTCACTTGAGGCATCAACAAACTTAATGCTAAAAATGAGTAAGCCCCATCAATCATTGTGTTTACCTACCATTTTGTTTTGAGCCTTGTTACAGCATTCTGGTCTCTTGAACAAAATGCACAATATCTATTGGTTTCATTTGCAATTATTTGTACTAGGCCAGCATCAAAATATTTTGTGAAATAATCGTATTCCTCAGCATCGTCAGCCACATCAAACATATCACTAACTCCCGCACCTACACTGTCAAATTTATATGTTTCCGGTTGAAATTCGTCACAGTATCTTCAATGAAAACTTACATTATCCTGGCCACTACTATCACTGGATTCGATTACATTTTTCATCTATGTCGCTATTTCCTATATTTTCCTCGCCACTTTCAAAATCGTTAGATAATAAGCTTCCAGTAGTACTAGTACAATTGATATCTTTGTCATTATTATCTTTAACTGCAAATATTACCTGTTTGTTTGCAGACGTTGATGGTTGATCCATGATAGTTATATAAAACCACTATTCCTGAAGAACAAAAAACACACACACAATCTTGATGCAGCAACCTTGTTAGAACATACAAAATCTTGAAAATTTACTATTGGGGTTTACATAGCCCAGCCCCACTTACACGAGGTGTCGATGGATATATAAACCAACCAAACTTATTTCAAAAGAATAAAAATGCACATAAATCTCAGAGCAGCAACCTTATTATAGTTCGACGGCCTCATCCGTGACCCTGAGCGCAAGCCCGCACGTGCCATTCGGATCAAATTATTCTCAAAATAAGGTTGAAGGATTGAGACTTTTCTTTGAGCATATAAATTCTCTCTCCGGAGAAAAGACATTCACACGACCTTTCATGTCACAGCAAGTAATAACGTACTTTTTGGACGAGTCTGTGTTTTGACAGAATGCCAGCCAAAGTTGTGTCTGATACGGAAGAACTCTAGAACTGTTACAAAATGTATTACTGGACACAGCCCAGCCATACTTATGCAGGATGTTGATGAACATAAACCACTGGATGCACTAACAGGATTCCATTTTTTATATTGCTGATGATGCAAAAATACAAAGAGATAGAATGTTTACATTGTATTATTTATTAAAAATAATCAGAAAGCAAAACAAAATTGACGATTTTTTGGTTACGATCATATAATTAGTTATATATTATGTTATAATTATTCATTTTTTTAGTCAAATTTGTATTTATAAATATGAATAATAAATTATTGTTGTTTTATAATCACTTATTAATGACAAAATGTCACACAACCATTTTAAAACTGTAAACGTATATGGCCACCATAGTTAAAGGGTTTGTAAAACAAACAAACATATAATGTTTTTAGAATCTAAACAACATAACTTACGTGATGAATCTCTTGCAAAATGAATACTCCTTAAATGTCTTCCTAAATTTGATTTTAATGAAAATCACACTGGTATTCAACACATTAAATTGAAAAATGAAATAAAAACTATCAAAACTTAAAGCCCTGCACACAAACATAATATTCATGACTCATAAAATATTTATTAAATACGTAAAAAAAAAATTCTAAGAATTAACAAATTCAAAAACTACATTTTAAAAAAGAGAGATCAGAAAATTTCTAAAAATATTAATAAGGTATTTCATATTTAATCTCCCTATACACTATTTTCATAACGTGCCCTGTTAAAGTAATAAAAAAAAGCAACAAAGATAAAAAATATATTTTAGTATATATATATATATAGTGCATGGACTTTAATCTAATAGTAAATTATTTGTACACTTAATTCTTTTAGAGGGCCAATGAATTCAAAATCATATATATATATTTAATGCATAAATTTATCACAAAATGTACAATTTCACAATTTTAATACTTCTAATATAAAAAATTAAAGACAATTTTTCATATATAAAAATAAAATAGTTTGATTATAAATAATTACTGATCTAAATGCAACTTAAATCCAATAATTTGCAGATGTAATCCTCATTCATAAATTTTATCAAATACATCCTTAAATTAAAATATTAAACATCTGAAATTTATCTAAATTAACCAATTTAGGTTCATAATCACTGAGCATACATCAAAAGACCCAAGCATACATACTCAATAAGCAAACATCAACAGACATATTGACACAATAAAGTGTGTATTTAAAAATTAAATGAGCTTACATAAAACAAAATTCATCTACCTAGATTTACAACTATCAGAAAACAGCTACAATTGTTGACGAAAAACGGTGTACAGATTTATTCTTATCAACCATAGGTCGAAAACAATTACGAACATCAATAAAAAGAAATTGAAAGAAAATGCATAAATTTACCATAAACAGAAGAAATTAAGTAAACGTACTGCCATTTTTCAATAAAATGTTTTGAGATAATCTGCAATTACCTCTGGAAGATTTCACAGATAGCCTTTTTCAAAATCGAATCTCCGTATTTTCTGACGGGAAAATGAAACTCCTTTGGCGTAACGTATGGCGAAATTTCAGACAGGGGGAAGGCAAGGATCAAGTCTGTTATTAATGTGACCGAAGAAAGTCCTATTTAAAGAAGGAAAGGCTCCATAGACGTAATGCACATATTCTTTAACTCATCTAACCAAGCGACGGTCCATTAAGGTTTAGCCTTTTTCAAAATCGAATCTCCGTATTTTCTAGCGGGAAAATGAAACTCCTTTGGCGTAATGTATGGCGAAATTTCAGACAGTCGGGAATTCAAGGATCAAGTCTGTTATTAATGTGACCGAAGAAAGTCTATTTAAAAAAGGAAGCACATATTCTTTAACTCATCTAACCAAGCTACGGTCCATTAAGGTTTAGCCCATTAAAGACATAGACTCTATAATTGACCGAGCTATTGCTAAGAGCAACGTTGCCGGTTCCAGAATTAAAGCCCAAGGGCACTTGATATAAAGAAATCCGGACGTGGGAGAAAATCTCAGATGAGAAAACGGGGACATTATACACAAATTTGGCCGCATTGTCTTATCCGACGCGGAGACAGACGCTTATTCACAAAGCCTACAGACCGTTTCTGCTGCTGTTTGCTCCGATTGGTTAAAACAGGAAACGTAGGGTTACAGAATCTAGTGCTTGGCGACTTTTGGTTCATCGCCTTTACAATTTGCATGTAAGCGTCGTACAGAATTCACCGGAGAAACCGCAGCTCAGCGGTAACGAGCGCGGGAAAATTTCTCAGCCTTCTAAGGTCGCCGGTTGTATCCCCGCTCGTAGCTGTCGTAAACTCTTCTCTACACTGATTAATTATTATTTTAACTTTATTGAATGACTTTGTTATTATTTGTCTTTTCGCCTTCGGGTGCGGTGTTAAAAATTAAGCGCCTTTATTTTTTCTATTTTTGTTTAATGTTAATTTTTCTTATTTTTATTTACTGGTTTGTACTCTTTGTAGTAGGTACCAATAGCGAGATTATTATCCAAGATCCCGAAAAGCGTTTCAATAGAAATAGCACATAATGGAATAAAATATAATTTTAGTTATACTTACTCATAATTTAGGTAAAACGAATAGGTAGGTATCCGACGTCCTTAAACGTTTACTGAATGTTTTCATTTGGTTAATTTTTTTATATTCCTTTATTTGTATAATTTAATGTGTTATGGAAATTTACACAATAGACTCTAACAGAAATGACGAAAAAGTGCATATGCTATCTCCATGTAAACACCTTTTTCTTGTAAAACAATTACGTACTTTTAAAAGTTTAAATTCAAATACAAATAAACTACTAATAAGATCAGTAGGTTATTTAAAATATATTCCACAGAATTCTTCTAAGCTTTCATTCATAAACTAAAAAAATATCGAATAATAAACGCTGTTTTCTTTTGTTCGGCGTTAATTACCACGCCTACAGGGCGATAAATCGCCATTCCAAATATGAACGCCAAGCAGATGTTTCCTCCAATGAGAGCAGCCCATACAGAAATGGTCTGTAGGCTTTGTGAATATGCGAGACAGACAGACAAAGTAGACAGATATCTTGTGTTGCACCCGCTAAGTCTTTCTGCAACCGATGGGCGAAAAATCAAGTATAGGTGCGAAGGAAAGGTATATAGAAAGAGAGCCAATTTCGTATTCGTGGAGAGTAAAAAGAAACTTCGTACATTTTGTACGAGTTCAAAAGGCCAGGAAGAAAAGATGGGACAAAATAAAATTTAAAATAAATTAAAGAGGGAAAAAAAAAAGAAAAGGAAAAGAAAATGTCCTAAAATACGATTGTGTTCATGAGTGTAGTTAAAGGGAGAAGAATCTGTCTTCATTTACAATAAATAGTGTCTCACAGGTGTGTGTGTGTAGTGAGTGTGTTTGGTAATGGTGAATAGATGTGTTACTGGGGAAAAAAAAAATATTGATGGTGTTAAAATGCTTCGTATCAAGGTATTTAGCATGGAATATAAAGTAATATGTATGTTTGCATCCTGAGATATCAACAAAAGTCATCAAACAAAAGTATATATTAATTTAACTAAAGTAACTTATGCTATTTTCGTTCCCAACATTTTCATACATTTTTCAAAAAACAGCAGCAGACAAACAACATAGAATCACAATTTGTTTACATTTCTCGATATTTGAATATTTACAAAATGCTATTTTCATTGATGTTAAACATTCTTTTATAAGAATGACACTGATTCTTAGGATTCTACTTCAGAATGTTAGATTTTTTTTATGATATCTCTTTGCATCTCTTTAATAATAACAAAAAAAAAAAAAAAAAAAAAAAAAAAAAAAATTGAAGCAATGTTTGATTTTGAAACAAAAATTGAAGCAATATTTTTCATTCCCCCCCTGCCTTTTGATTTATATAAATGAAACACCAAATGTTAACGAGAAATATTTTTTCTACAATTACAAAATTATACTGTTCAGAAAATGGATCGTATAAACAGCGATATTGGGTCTATCCGAACGTCCTAACCAAAACTAGGTCCAGTATATAAAACCAAAACTGGGTCCAGAAACATAAATTATTGGCACAAGAAGGTGAATCTTAATAGAAGGTCTTTAACAGTGGCGTAGCTAGGGTGAGGCAAAGGGGGACATCTGTCCCCGGGCGCAGCATTCAGGGGTCGGCAAATTGATGTTACGAAATTTTAGAAAGAAATGTTTTCCATTCTTGCCACAGAGAAAGGGGCGCAAAATCTTCCCCGGGGGCTGAAAACCTTAGCTGCGCCTCTGGTCTGAGACTTTCCGCATATGTAAGCGAAAATAGTTTGAAAGCAAATGAATTAGGCACAAAAGAAAACTTAGACTGGCGTAGGTTTTATACAAATACAGTTGTTTTTGAAAGTAATTCTTACAGGGTTTCAAGTAGGGTTCTTTTCAGAAGCAAAAAAAGAATTGCGCTGTCTGGCAATTATTATAGTACCTTTTTTCACGCTAGTGAACTCTTGCTTGCTTTTGTGCAAAGGTTTCCTTAATTTAACATTATTCCGTTTAATGACATAATTGATCATTGTTTGTTATTTGTTAGACTGTTGAACGCTTTTAGTTTTCAAGCTAGAGTTCTTTAGAGCTGTGTGAGGATTCCCTATTTAACGCTGTAAACAGAAGAGGGGGGGGGGGAACAAGCAAAAATATAAATGGAGTCTTGTTTTGGAGAAGTGCTCTTGAACCTCTTCTGATCATGAGTATTAGTTTTGATATGAAATCAAGATAAATAATTTTCCCCCGTATTTCAATTATATTTATCGACTAAGAATGCTTCAGGTAATTTCGGAAGTTACTGAATTTAGTGTGGATTATTTTCCTTTTTGTTTTTTAATTGTTAAATGAATAGCATCCGTTTAGAGCTAATTGCAAAGTAGGAAGTGTTAGTTTAAAGGCAAATTGGGAATTTTGCATGATTGCTGCTTATTTTATAATTAAATTTTATGATTTAGAAAGTTATGACTATTATATTGTGGAATTTTATCATGTGTAGCTTTGTATAATTGTATAATTAAAGCTAAGTGACGTACATATAATTTACGAATATAATGATGTATACTGTAATGAAACTATGAATCTGTTTATATGTTTTAAATTTAAACGTATTTTCAGAATGCAGGGGGAAAATGCCGAAGAAAAAGTACCATCTCCACCTTCTTCAAAACTCAGTAGTCCTACCACAGAAGCTCTTGAAACAGCCATTCTGAAAGTATTTCTGAATTCTGGGAGTTGTGTCATTGTAAAATTTGCAGTCGATACATTAGTAAAGGTAAAATTTTATTTTTCATAGTGTTCATTTGATTATTATTTTGATTAAGTTTTAAATTAAGTATGTGTTTGAATAATTTTTTTGTGAATGGCTAAAATATAAGCAGTGGACTTTTAAAAGTGATTTTTCTGTTCTTTTACATTTGAATAGTACATTGTTCACTTTCATAACTGATGAGAAATATCTTTTATGATTTTCTTTAGCTTAAGCCTTGGGCAACTGAGATTATTTTATTTTGTTTTTAGCAATGTATATTGTATGAAAACTTATCATTGAATTATTTTGAAATTTATTACAGCAAAAGAAGTTGCAAAATATGTTTTATTTTAATATGTCCATTTATATTAAGAAAGTTTATTGTATTGTGTTGCTTCTCAGTTTTCAATATTTATTAAAGAAGAATGATAACATTGTTGTATTTTAAATGTGCAAGTAAAATTGCATTCAGTATGAATGCAACCAAGCATTTGAATGTGTAAAAGGTATTTAGTATAATTACTTTCTGTTAAAAATAGGAAAGGTTAAAAGTCAGACTGTTTAGCTAAGCATTAAAAAGAGATATATACATCTTTACGACATTTTTATGAGTTTTTTATGAAATTTCTTGTTAAAGTAAATTACATCATGCTGTTTGAAAAATTCTCAGTTTAAATATAGATTTCTTTGGCCATAATTACCAAGAACATTAAAATCTTTTAACAAATTATCTTCTTTCAAGCTGAAGTCTTTTCATTTGACAATTTGACACGTTAATTTTAAAATTTGCATTTCTAGCTAGCAGAAAGATTGCCTTTTGTTTGTTTATTCGATCTGTCATTTCATGGTTACAAGCATGACTAGTGTTTCATTGCTTTTACTTCAATCTACAGTTGTCATTTCCTTTCCATTCAAAGACCCTTAATGTACAGTAATGCTAAAAAGTATTTTATGAGCATTTTATAATTCTTTGTGAATGTAATCGATCTCTCCGAAGAGTAGGATTTTGATGATGGAAACCTTAAAGGGTGGGATTCAGATGTGCACTTTCACTTCCTGTTAGCTGCTATTCGAGAAGGAACCTTCTCTCATTTACAGTGCTTTTAAAGGATTGTTTTTGTTAACCTTAAGGAAATTTTGCTGCTCTTAAGTCCAATGTGGATGCGGAACTATGCCGAGTCTATTAGCCAGTGAGTTTAATAAGTGGGAGGTACTACATATCATATACTTGAAATGGCTAATCTTTAGAATATGGTAACAGGTAGTTTGGCGACATTTTGGTAGGCGATAATGGCTAATCTTTGGAATATGGTAACAGGTAGTTTGGCGACATTTTGGTAGGCGATAATGGCTAATCTTTGGAATATGGTAACAGGTAGTTTGGCGAGATTTTGGTAGGCGATAAAGGTTACTACCTAGGACTTTGCGAATAATGTGAGAAGTACTCAGTTCCGATTACGCATTATTTTGTGTGAGGGAAATGAGAGATCATGAGATATGTCATGTGACATTAATGGACGAATTACAGTTCTTTAATCGGAAAAAAGGGGAAATCTGGAAAAATATCTGTAGTACTTTATAGCATTTTGTATTTAGCTTCATTCTGTGTTGTGTGAAACAGTGTTGGTTAATTTTTGGATCTTATAGCCCTATCTAAAGTGAATTTGAAATGGGTATTTAGTGGGATTGAAAGGGGTTATAATAAGTGTTTTTTTAAGGTTGTGCGAGATAGAAGTAAAGATTGCTTATTAAGTTTTATTAAGCAGTATATTCTACCTGGTACAATAATAATATCTGATTGCTGGAAGTCATATGCCTGTTTGGAGGATGAAGGTTTTCAACATCTTGCTGTTGAACCTAAATACTAGAAGAAAATTGGTTCATTATTTACAGTTCAAAGATCCTGAAACAGGTGCACATACAAATACAATAGAGGGCACGTGGAGTGTTATAAAAAGCGCCATTCCGAAGCATTATGATAAAGAGAATTTTGCTTTTTATTTAGCGGAGGAAGTATGGCGGAAAAATTTGCAGAAAAAGTCATTCAATAATTTTATTGAATCGATAAGAAAAGTTTATCCGCCACGTAATCAAGATTCTGAAGAAGATTAGGTAAGTTAGTATTTTTAATTATTTGAGAATATTATTTTTATGCATTGTTCTAAGTGTAAGGAGTAAATAAATTAATATGGTATTATTGGAAAATTGTTATTAACAATGATTTAGTTTAAAGTAATTAGGATTGTAAGCTAATTTTTATTAATTTAATGTATGTGCTTATTTATATTTTAAGTAGTGTTTTTTAGTTTAATTATATTTTAATTAAATGATAGTTATTTTGTGAATTATATGTTTGTAGCAATTTGGTATACGTTTGAGTGGAAGTAAATGTGCATGTAAATAATTTAAATATTTGACACTAAGTATTTGCAACCATTTTAAATGTTTGCGTTATAAATTCGTTGGTGATGTTTATAATAGATAATTTATAGGTCAAAGTTTTTTGATATTTTATTTGTATTATACGTAGAAATGTTCATCCTTGGAAAGGGTATATACTTTTTCGCGATCAGGTAATTTCATATATGTGCTTTTTACGGAGTTTAAAGATTCACAAAATTTTTCTGCATTTTCGTGCAAATTTTTGTAATTTATGAGAAAATAGCTGTGTAGATAGATAAAGAGTGTGCGCAATGCCATATTTGTGCAATTCTGGGATTTTTTTTAAGTAAAAATAAGTCTACGTGTACATGGTTACTGTGTATGTGCGATTCTGAAAAACGCGGCAAGGAGTTTGCGATTCTGCACTTTTTCCCAATTTTGCAGTTAATATTTGTCATGATTAAGCAGTTTTGTTCCATAAAATTTCTAGCATAAGTGTAATTCGGCTAGCAGATTGTTGGAAAAAGTGTTGAGTAAATAAAAAGAAAAGAAACCTGTGTTTACTTCGTGAAGACAAAATGGCGGCAGAAAAAAAAATAGAGGGTAGCTGCAGCAGAGTTGGTCGCCAAATTTTCGCCAAAAAATCGCCAAGTTTTCATAATCCAAAGATTAACGCTTGAAATTATTAAAGGTTGATCTTTGGATTATGGTAACTTGGCGATTTTTTGGCGAAAATTTGGCGACCAACTCTGCTACAGCAACCCCCTATTTTTTTTTTCGCCGCCATTTTGTCTTCACGAAGTAAAGACATGTTTCTTTTCTTTTTATTTACTCAACACTTTTTCCAACAATCTGTTAGCCGAATTACACTTATGCTAGAAATTTTATGGAACAAAACTGCTTAATCATGACAAATATTCACTGCAAAATTGGGAAAAAGTGCAGAATCGCAAACTCCTTGCCGTGTTTTTCAAAATCGCACATACACAGTAACCATGTACACGTCGAGTTATTTTTACTTAAAAAAAATCCCAGAATTGCACAAAAATGACATTGTGCACACTCTTGACTTTATCCATCTACACTGCTATTTTCTCATAAATTACAAAAATTTGCACGAAAATGCAGGAAAATTTTGTGAATCTTTAAACTCGGTAAAAAGCACATATATGAGATTACCTGATCGCGAAAAAGTATATACCCTATCCAAGGAATGAACATTTCCACGTATAATATAAATAAAATATTCAAAAAACTTTTACCTCTAAATTATCTATTATAAACATCAACAATGAATTCATAACAAAACATTAAAAATGGTTACAAATACTTAGTGTCAAATATTTAAATTATTTCCATGCACATTTACTTCCACTCAAATGTATACCAAATTGCTACAAACATATAATTCACAAAATAACTATCATTTAATTAAAAAATATAATTAAACCATGTACACGTCGACTTATTTTTACTTAAAAAAATCCCAGAATTGCACAAAAATGTCATTGCGCACACTCTTCACTATATCCATGTACACTGCTTTTTTCTCATAAATTAGAAAAATTTCACAAAAATGCATGAAAATTTTGTGAATCTATAAATTCGGTAAAAAGGACATATATGAAATTACCTGATTGCGAAAAAGTACATACCCTTTCCAAGCATGGACATTTGCGCATATAAAATAAATAAAATATCCAAAAACTTTTACCTCTAAAATTATCTATTATAAACGTCACCAACGAATTTATAACAAAACATTAAAAATGATTACAAATACTTAGTGTCAAATTCTTAAATTCTTTCCATGCACATTTACTTCTACTCAAACGTATTCCAAAATACTACAAACATATAACTCTCAAAATCACGATCATTAAATTAAAATATAATTAAATTAAAAAACACTACTTAAAATATAAATAAGCACATACATTAATGTAATAAAAATTAGCTTACAATCCTAATTACTTTAAACTAAATCATTGCTAATAACAATTTTCCAATAATACCATATTAATTTATTTACTCCTTACATTTAGGACAATGCATAAAAATAATATCCTCAAATAATTAAAAATACTAACTTACCTAATCTTCTAATGAATCTTGAGTGCATGGCGGATCACAAAATGTCCATTTTCACCAGGTGGTCCAGGTCCATTTTCACCAAGTGCTTATTAGCTAAAATCACGATCTGAATTTTCCAGAAAAATATCACATGATATGTCTCATGATCTCTCATTTCTCTGAGACAAAATAATCTGTGATTCGAACTGTGTACTTCTCAGATTATTGCTAAAATCCTAGCTAGTAACCTTTATCGCCTTACCAAACTGTTGCCAAACTACCTGTTACCATATTCTAAAGATTAGCCTAGCAAATTTTGAATGTGGAAATTCATTACAACAGTGTTGAGTGGTTTGCACAGACTGTTATGAATCTTCATACAGTCTTTGGATATGAAAGGACACCTGATGAAGTTTAAGGTCGCCAATTGATATAGAAAATTTGAGGACCTAGATTCGACAGCAGATCAAAAGTCACTATGCTCCTTGTTGTTCTGTTGAAAATGCCATTATGGTGTGTAGCAGTGTTATTGTACATCCCAGGTCCAAACCTAGAATCCTAGAAAGACTAACAATAAAAGAACGTAAAGAGGAAGTTCATTTTGTCATTAACCACCTCAGTAGGCAGATATGTGAAGAAAAGTGATACAAATTTCATCAAAAGAATACCATGCTGCCGAGCAAATCATGGAGAGCATATGCCAGACAATTTTTCATTTTTAAATCAGAACATTTACCTGTTGTAAATATGTAAAATTATCTCCCATTTTCTAAAAATAATGTACTTTATTGGACATATCAAATCCAACACTTTTTTTGGGACACCCTCTAGAAAAAGGTTATGCAACAATTAAAAAGTTTCAAAATATCAGTAAGTGAAATGCAAAATTCTGAAATGAAGGCTGTTTGTGCACAAATCAATGAAATGACTTTTCATAAGGGGACTTCTCAAAGGTATTGTCTTTGCGTTTCTATTTCCTGCTAATGTTGAGGATTTTTGCTACTGTATCACCAGGGGCTGTGATTCTGACCATGATATGTATGCCAAAACATACTGCTGTACTGGAAAGTGTATTACAGTCAAAAGTCATTAATTCGGACACCCATAATTCGGAATGATCTATAATCCGGACCTCAAAACTAAAAACTTTCTGCGCATGCGCCGCGTTTACGCGTGCGCGTAAGACCTTTTATGATTGCGCATATGAGTGTGCGCAAGTGCAGAATACGTTTTCGCGTGCGCGTTTTATGTATAATGGACGTATAAGCTAAAATTATCTAATTATCTATTTCAGTTAATGTTGATGATTGCGTTGTTCCTTAATTTTCGAATTGGATCCGGCTTATTATTTTTTGCAGACTGTAAGAGCAATTTTATAAAAGTTAGCTTAAACTTTCGATTATATCAAATAGAATTTTCGATATATATTTGTTAATATGTAAAGGATCTAAAGCGAAAGTATGTTTTGAAATCCGAAATCTGTTTATCAATTTCACGCTGCTCGGTGGGGGGGAACGCCGCAGCGGGTGCGTAATTTATTGGAAGTTGATCTGTCAGCACTATCCTTATCTTCAGGGCAGATGTTTTTATTTTATTTGACTTATAATTCCTTACCAAATTAGTATTTCATCTCGATGTGCTCCGTCTTTGATACGATTTAAAACAAGTTCCTCGTCATTATAATTCGCTTCCGATAGCGAAGAAAGTGACAGAGGTTAGTGAAAACGAAAAAAATTCGATTGACAAATTAGTCGGTGTTCTTGACACAGCAATTATAGGACTTGAACAGCGGAACTTTGTAACTGAACAAGAAATTATGTCTGTTTAATAGAATAATGATCTATAATCCGGAAAAATCGATAATCCGGAATCGCGAAGTCCACACGAGTCCGGATTAACGACTTTTGACTGTATAAAATGTATCATTGCATTTCAGGAAAGAGGGATACACTGAAAATTTGTGCTATGTGTAAAAAACACTTACTTTACCACTATTTCTGTATATCAAAATTTGATATTAGTTCTATATTTTGTTATGAATTTTCAGGAAGCTTATTAAAATTATGAATAACTTTTTATATTTATTATTTTGTTAACAATTTAATTTTGTTTGTAAAAGTGAAAATTTATCTCTGATAATTAAGGTACAGAATAATCTATTATGAAATGTTTTTTTTAAGTGTGTATTCAGTATATTAAAATTATTATAATATCAAAGGCACCTTGTTTTATGTCATGAAATGAATCTGAAAGTAGATTTTTAAATCGTGTACTTTTTTATGCATTTGCAGACTGTTGTTCAAGCTGTAAGCAGTCAAATTGCTTGTGGAACTCGTGTTTTTGAAAGTCTTTATGGCATTCGTTTGGCTCATACTTTATCAGATGATGTGTATTGGATACATGGAGAGAGTGTTGTTTTACAAGTTGTAAAAAAGTACCAAGCACTTTTATCCATAGATGAATGGAGGTAAGGAATATTTTTATCTGAAAATAAATGGAAATCATAAATTTACATTTATTTCATTAAAAAATATTTATGTATTAACCTTTTTTTTTAGGTATGAGCTGAGAGTGCGATATTTACCTAGTAATTTGAGAGAGCTGTATGAAAAAGATAAAGTAACATTTCATTATTTCTATGAGCAGGTTAGAAAAATTCTAAAAATAAGAATTGAATTATTTCATGTCGTCATAAAATGAAACTGAGATAATTTTGTGTTGGGATTTATCTGCAGCATGGGTGTCATCAGTTTATTTATTCATTTTATTATTGTACTTAGCTGACATTAGTCTCTCTTTGATTTGTATATACAAGTTACTAACCTCTAAAAGTAATTTTTTTAATCATTTTTTTTTTAAATGTAATGATTGAATGTCAAGAATATGAGTCTTCTTATTAAGAATTTTAAATGACATAATGTAAAAATTGATAACATTTAAAAGAAATTATTTTCGTATTATGTGGAAAAAAGTTTTCCATATACAGTCGTTAATCTGGACTCGTCGGGACTTCGGCAATTCCGGATTATCGATTTTTCCGGATTATAGATCATCATTTTAAATCTGGTAAGATGGCATGCAGAAATTACAAAATTAAAAATATGAAACCTTAATTTATGAAATAAAGAAAAATTATGATCTAAAGGGTATCAAAATTTACAAAAAGAAAAAGCTTAATATTTATTTGTTTACTTTATTAAACATTTCTTTCAATGTAAGTTGTTTAAGTTACTTCGTTTCATGTGATAATACTTTCTCTTTAATTCTATTAAACAGACATAATTTCTTGTTTAGTTACAAAGTTCCGCTGTTCAAGTCCTATAATTGCTATATCGAGAATACGGACTAATTTGTCAATCGAAATTTTTTCGCTTTCAATAACCAATGTGTCATTTTCTTCACTATTGGAAGCGAATTATAATGACAAGGAACTTGATTTAAATCATAGACGGAGTACATCAAGATGAAATACTACATTTAGTAAGGAATTATGAGCCAAATAAAATAAAAACATCTGCCTTGAAGATAAGGATAGTGCGACAGATCAACTTCCAATTCATTGTGCGCTACGGCGTTCCCCCCCCCCGGCCGCCACAGAGCAGCGTGAAATTGATAAACAGATTTTGGATTTCGAAACATATTTTCGCTTTGTAGATTCTTTACATATTAGTAAATTTATATCGGAAATTCTATTTGATATAATCGAAAGTTCAAGCTTACTTTTATAAAATTGCTCTAACAGTCTGCAAAAAATAATAAGCCGGATCCAATTTGAAGATTAAGGAACAACGCAGTCTGCAACATTATTAAGATCTGCAACATTATTAAGAAGATTAAGGAACAACGCAGTCTGCATTGAATTAGATAATTTTAGCTTAGCTTATACCATCCGTTATTCATTCAAGGTGCATGCGTAAACGTATTATGCGCGTGCACGCATGCATATTCGCAGCCGTAAAGGTCTTATGCACACGTGTAAACGCCTATGCGCATGCCTCAATGCGACGCATGCACAGAAAGTTTGCAGTTTTGAGGTCCGGATTATAGATCATTCCGGATTATGGGTGTCCGAAATAACGACTTTTGACTGTACCTTAGAAAGATGTTCTGTCTCTCTAATAGTATTGGATGAGCCCAGCTTGTATTATGATTCACACATATGAGTTCAGCTCATCTAAATGATTTTGTCTAAAATGGCTAAGATAGTCCTGTTCCCAAAGTAGATCTTTTTTCGAATGAGAATAGTAGAACTGCCTTCATTCTTCAAAATAATCCAGTGTTTTTAAGACATGAGATTTAGTTTGACAGGTTCTTTGAATTTAATGATATTTAATGGAATTTCATATTTTTTTTGTGTAATTAAGAAGATAGTTTTTTTGACCCATTTTTTTCTCATTCTACATTTTGAATATAATTTAATTGTTGAATGGGTTGTATAAATGCAAAGTTTTGGCAAAATTTTATTAACTAATGAATCAGGTTCAGTAACAAATGATTTTTATAAATTATTAAAAGAAACTGAGATTGTGAAATGGTTTAAATTTCATTCATTTCTCCATCTATTTAAAAGAGAAAATAAGTAAAGATGATTTTAGAAGTTATCGGGACCGGAGTTATCGGCAAATGTTCTGCTAAACTCCCCAAGAGATTAATTTTATAGGAAGTGGCCAAAGTTTACTTTTAAAATTGTTACAGTGTTTACATTTAAAAAAAGTAAAAGAATGCATATCAAAATTGGTAACGAGAATACAAATTCTAAAGATGTAATGGTCGCTTTTGTTTTTATTATTCTTGTATTTACCATGAATTTGAAAATTTGAGACTTACCTAATGATGAAGCATCTTTCATACAATTTCTTCAGTAATGAGGAATTGTTCACTCTGGAAGAAAGTGCATGAAAAACTTTAAAATGAAGTTCTACTTCAATTCGAACGAAGCACCGGAATGGAGATGGGAAGATCTGGATTTGAACATTTCAGCATTAACCATAAGTATAATTTTATCGATCCTGATATTAGTTATCACACTCAAACTTCTGAAAAGTAATGGGACAGCGAAACAGACTTCAGCCTGGCTCTGAACGTAACTAATTAGATTCTTATTTGAGTTAATGTGATGGCAGCAGCATTCTAAAACACAAATCTATTCAGACAGTTTAAAAGATATCCGCAGTTCCATGCCTCTACATAAATCTTAATTCACTACATTCTCTAACCAATTTTTTTGCTAGTTTCTTTAGTAAGTTGCTGAACGTGCATTAAAAATTTCTAATTGTACGAATATCTGTCTCCCTTGGATTTTTCTCCAACTAAACTGTATTTTAAATATTTTGGCGATTATTTTTATGCTTCAAATTTTTTGCCAGATCGTGAGCTCTTGGTGATATCTAAATCTGATCTCGATAACAAAACAGTACCATTTTAGAATATTATGAAACAGCTTAATTGCTTATCAGCTTTAAGTCCATTCAGTTTTATAGATGTTGCTTATAAAAAGATGAGTATTCTTTCTTACATGAAATATATATAGATGGATCAAAATATAAGTTACGTTTGGTAGTGATATATTACAGAGAGACTGAGTTTGGTGAAATATATAGACCAGCTTGAGAGAGAAGGGACTTATTTATCTAATTCCTCTGTGTGTGTCTGCTGCGCTTTGCATACTAATGCATCAGCCGGATTCATATTCTACATTGGAGATATACAAAGCACTGGATTTAAAGGTAACACACAAAAGGTTAAAAAAAGTCCCTTTGGGTGTAATGTAAAATCTGAAAGCTTTCAGATTTTTTTTTACTCCTTTTTTTTTTTAAAATTAATGTGAAAAAGTTGGGCACTTAGAGACTGACAGCAATGGAAATTATTTAATGAAATCATTCCATTGCATGATAATGCAACCCCTCATCACAGTTTGTAAAACAAAAGAATTGCTGGAAATGTTTAAAACCCTCATCACATACGATATTTGTTGCCGGAACAAACGTTTGCAGCAACAGTTCTGAGAAATGCCCTTTGGTGAAATAGGGTTACCATCTTCACTTGGTAAAAAGGCTGAAAGCCAAACAAGAATCAGTTATCGCTCAGATTGGCAAAAGTGACGTTTCCTTTCAAGTGACATTCGCTTCTTCGTGTTGTTTTGTATCGCTCACACGCTTTTCATTTTAAACTTTATTGTTAGTAATGGAAGATAATAGAAAGGTGATTGCTATCAAGTTAATCACTTTGATCTCCACTCTGGCACTTCAAGTAACAGATAAACACTTTTCTGGTTATAGTAATCAATTACATCAGTAATAGCCAAATTCTGTATACACTAAAAATAGTTTAAAACGTGTGCTGGATAAGTCTATTTATCAGACATTATTTATGTGTATTTTCTGTTGTCTGCATTCCAATGAAAATTTGATGGCTCACTGGAAAATTTGTGACCTGGTGACCACCGTCTAACCTTGACTAACTTTATGGCTCATAATTACTGTTCTGTCCATTCAAACAAACAAACAAACAGACGTCTATATTGCTGATATTTACATCCTCACAGCCAGCAGATACTATTCAGCAAAATGAAGATCAAATAAAGCATGTGAATACATGAGCAATCAAAACATGTGCAAGTTGTTTACTGTCCCATAGAACATTCGGTAATGCACCTAAAACACATTAATTATACCAACTCTAGAAAGTAGGTGGTGCACATCATGAGTTTGTTTTATATGATTACGGCAAAGCCTCGAAGGATATCTGCCTAACAGGAGGGATCCCTTTGTAGAAGATTTTTTAAAACTGGCTCGTATACCAGTTACAAATGGGGCAAACCAAGGAAACGTCATGTAGCCAGCCCGTTCGCGGCATTCTAACCTGAGACAGAACTACCAGTGTTCAACGACGCTTCGGCCACTAGTAGGCCCGTGCACTTAATTGGAAAGTGCAATTCATTATGTAAACAGACATGAAGGTGATAATCAGTTGTGCACTGTTTTAAGTAATCAAATGTTATAAATGCACAGCTGTTACATTTCTTATTATTTATTAGTCATGTTTTTATTACGTAGATCATACATATGATATAATTATGAATTAACCCAATAACAAAATGTGTACACTCTTTAGTACTCAAATACTCATCAATTATTTTTCAACTGATTATTACATACCCATAATAATTTGCAAAGAACTGATAACTATAGTTGCTGCCAATTACATAATCGTTATCTGAATTAAAAGTAACTTCAAATAAACTTCTTGGCAATGTTCATTTTTGTATTCATACATACATATATATACACATCTAATAAGTCATATATTTACATACAGATAGAGAGATGCGATGGTTTAGAAGTTGTTAATATATATTTATTAGTATTAATGTAATGAATAAGATTTATATTAATGAATGTATATACAAATGTTTTTCATCATGCATAATAATAAATCCATAAATTTCCAATGTTTCAATATGTAGCATTTACAATAAAAGTATAGTTTTCTAATGTATTTATAATCCAAAAAGTATTTCATTAATAACATGAAAATAATAGACAAATTTAATGAGTATTCTCATTATTACATAAGCTATGCTTTTCTTTTTTATGCATCTTTTATGCTGTTTAAAATGTGTCACTGATTATGTTAACAGATAAGTAATTAGGAGAAAAGCCGCGCATATACAAACGGATTTTAAAAAAATTATTCAACTTAAATTTAAGAAATAAAATTCTATTATATAACAGTGTTATAATACACGATCAGCACGAAATACGACAAATTTGGCGAACTTTTGGCGACGAACAATTTGTAAACAAATCCAAACTGCAAGAACGTCGTAAAATACTGTCAACTCTGAAATTTCCACGATTATATATTTAATGAATATATACACATTTAAAAAATGACTCAGGCAGTTGTATTACAACAAAACAGCAATAATTAAATCGGCCTCTATTTCCACCGTCCATCACTTCACAGTGAGAGCCAACGCCATATTGAAAGTTACCTGTGATCCTTCAGAAGCAGAACTTTCGTCTGATTGGTTGAACGTTCGAGAAACACATCTCCAGCCGGAACATTTTCGGACAAGTTTTAAAATGTTGCACGTAGCCGGGACATGTTCCTCCTAGCTATACGAAACATTTCTTGGAAACCTGCTGCTTAAAGCCTTGCAACTAGAATCTCGTTTCTCGGAATTGTCCCGGGTAAGCACGCACGTCCATAGAAGTGATAGGGCTATAAAAGGGAGATGTCACCACACTCACTCTACAGCCTTGATTTATCCACGTCATTTCAGAAAAAGTCCGATTTTGTGTCAAAATACCTATATTAGAGAAGTGCTATGTACTATAAATCCAATATGTATTCTAAGTCGTGCTTTCGAGACATGAAAAACTCAATTTGAATTTCGTCCATCAGCCTAGTAGAATGGGATATATAGAACTGTCCCCCTCTTTTTTTTTTGCACAGTGTACATAATTTTCTTAATTAATAACTTAACAATAAAATATCTTGATAGTTTTGGGGCATTAGTGATTCATAAAGTCATTTTCATACACACACACACACATATATATATATATATACAGTACAAGTCCGTAATCCGAACGTCCATTATCCAGAATAATCTATAATCTGGACCTCAAAGCCACAAACTTTTTTTTTGTATGCTTTACGCATGCGCGTTTAATGCGTGCTTCCAATAGTGAAGAAAGTGACAGAGAGGTTATTGAAAACGAAAATTTCGATTGACAAGTTCGTCGATATTCTCGACACAGCAATTACAGGACTTGAACAGTGGAACTTTGTAACTGAGCAAGAAATTATGTCTGTTTATTAATTAAAAAGAAAATATTAGCATAAAAAACGAAGCAACTTAAACAACTTACATTGAAAGAAATGTTTAATAAAGTAAACAAATAAATATTAAGCTTTTTTTTTTTCTCTAAATTTTTGATACCCTTTAGATCATAATTGCTCTTTATTTCATAAATTATGGTTTCATATTTTTAATTGTATAATTTCTGCATGCCATCTTACCAGATTTAAATTGATAATCTATAATCCTGGAAAACCCCTAATCCAGAATCGCTGAAGTCTGAATGAGTCCGGATTACGGACTTTGTACTGTACTATATATATACTGTGCTGTACTATAAAATGTATGCTTGAACATGTTACAATCAATCTAAAAAAAGAGATTTTATGCTAACGGTGTGATCTAATATTAGACAATAATTTTGTTTGTACATGCTATAATACAATTTTAATGCAATGCTAAAAGACAATTTTAATTTGAAAAGTAAAATCAAATTAATTTAAATTATAATAAATTTTCAGATTTTAGTGCAGATATGAAATCCATATTATTTATGTATTAATAAGAGAATTTTAATCTTAGGTGAAAAATGATTACTTGAAACTAAAATGCAATGTTGATCAAGAATTAGCACTTCAGCTTTGTTGTATAGAAATAAGGTAATTATTTTTGATGGTTAAAATTTATAAATTTTTCACTATACTTGATATGTAATTTTTTTCCAGGAGTTTTTCATTTGTTCAGTACTATATAGGATGCAACTTATTGCTGTGAATTCTAATAATTTTCAAATTTTGTTTGTCATTATTAAGAGTTAAACCAATACTAGACTGTTTTCTTTATTCATCTTTATCACTTACTTATTCAAGATTAGAAATATTAATTTTTTCACCATTTTAAGATTTTTAAGCATAGATATCTTTTTAATTACTAGGAATCTGAAGTCTCAGATATTCATATCAGAACATTTTGTTTGTATATAACTGTCTTTAAGTATTAGAAAATTTTTGTCTTAGAAGTTGAAATGTTCAGAAGTTAATTCAGACAAAGTTTTTCTCACTGACCGCACATCTAAAAAAGTCATACTTCCAGATATGCAAACGACAGAAAAATCATGACATGTGATTGTTATAAGAATATTTGGTCACAATCAATGAGTCCACAGAGTGGGTCTAAATCTCATGGCGAATATAGACTTTAAAAATGCATGTAAGCTATATTGTTTAGCTGCTGTGGCAAATTAATGCTTTTATGGTACTATTGTATTAGGAAAGAAAAATGCCATGAAGAGCCATCCCACTATAGTACAACCAATTCAGTGAGTTTGACAATGATTAGATAAAGGGATGTTAAAATCAATAACTAAGTGAAGTTGCTAAAAATATATTCAAAGTGAATGACTTTTGTTTCAAGAGCTTATTTTTGATCATTTCCCCCTCTTTTATTATGTCCTTTTTTTAACTTAATTTTGCTGTTTATTGCATCTTTTGTATTTTTTAAATTGAAATTATTTTTTCTGTGCAATTAATGAAATAAAATGATTTCTTATGGTAAGAGAAGTTTTATTAAAGCTATACTTTTCTGTTTTCAGACGATTTTTTAAAGATCTATCACATATAGCCCTTGATAAGAAGTCAAATTTTGAATATTTAGAACGAGATGTTGGGCTGCATAAATTCTTACCTGCTGTTGTAATTACATCACATAAAGTAAGTAATGATTTCTGATCCATTTTAAAGTTGTTAAATCACACACACACATGAAACAAAAGTAATTTTTTTAGAAGTCATTTTTTTATGCATTATAGAAGTTTTTTAAATGTTTGAGTGTTGACAAATGTTTTAATTCAACTTTTATTTGTTTCAAAGAAAATGTTTTTCTAATCAGAATCTACAAATTGACCATGTTTGTCAGTCTTCCTGTAAAACAAATTTGATTCCAAAACTCCTGCATAGCAGTGATTATGATTAATGGGAAAAAATGAATTTCTTAGTATTTAATTAAGATTTTATTTATTGTAATGAAGCATATTTTAAGCTTCCGTAAGTGTAGGGAAAACTCAATGCTTTGAAAATTCTCAAAATAGACATTAAATATATTCTTTTGGTATGACAAAAATTAATGAAAGACTGTAATGCTTATTACAGGAATCCATGCATTTCCTAAAAAAGGGCATTATAACTAGTAATTGCTGTAACAATCATGATTTTCATATGATCTCCCCAGTTTTGTGAAAATAAAGATTTTAAAAGAAATTCTGTCCTGATAACACAATAATAAATTATTGTTCACTCTGTGATCAAATAAGTAATGGCAATGAAAGACATATTAAGACAACAGTTCTTATTTCTTAAATAAATTTTAATGTATAAATTACAAAAAGAATTTTTGTATGTATATTGTGAACATTTACTCCTACCAAAAGTAATTTTTTAATTTCATTATAGATTTTTTTAAAAGCATACCATTTCAGTTGAAGACGACATATGATTTTTGTATTTTCATATAAAAGAACTCAACACAGTAACCCCAAAATAACCTGTATAGCAGTGAAAAAAGAATAAAAAAGGATTAGAAGGGACATCAGAAATGTGAATATTTATGTCAGATGGCAAGTTAAAGAAACAAGCTGTTTGTTTGCATTACGCTTTCCTTCTGTAACCAACACCAAAGTTAGGCAGAATGTGATCAAACTGAAGGTTAGAGTCATAAAAAACTATGTTCACTTCAAAAGTAATGGACACAGAATGTCATGTAGTGGTCTTTAAAAGATCGCTTAGCTTAAAATGCACATATGCATCACATATCTCTTAAGATTATTGTCCAGTGATGCATGGGGGGCATTCATCTGCGAGAGTCTCTCATAGGAAATGCATATATGTTATTACTGTCTAAAGAAAATTGAAAAGTGAGTTTAATGTTGGAGGAATAAGATACTTAAATTCAGGATATGTTTTGAAATGATTGAGGAAATCATTATGTGGAATGTAAAAATAACAAAGTGGTACTTCCATATTATTTTCAGTAACTGTTACCAAACGTTACTTTAGAATTCTAAAGGACACAGTCATAAATAATTGGTGCTAAATCATGCTGCTTGGTCGGCCGACGGAATAATATGTAAGTGCCATATAAGTGAGAAACATCTGGATATTTTGCACTAGTTGTAAAGAAAAGATCAGTGAAAGTCATTACAGCATCGACTATATAAATTAAATGAATAATTTTATTTTTTACTCATTGTCATATTACTCTAACCCTTTAAACATCGAGTACATACTATGAACATTCTGAGAAAAAATAAAAAGTTCAAGAATATGTTAACATTCTCTTATAGTTATATTTTGTGTAAATTGGATATGAAGTGATAAATGTAGTAAAAATTAAAAGAATTATACGCCCATGCACACATACAAATGTTACAAACAAGAAAATTAAAAAAAATATATAAAATAAGAAAAATTAAGTATTTTTGTTATACTGTTATTGAATAGGTACGAACATTATTATAAATCAATTAAATTTTGCATTCAGTAAATTTTATACGAATGTTTCATGTTTATACAATTATATGTTGTATAAAATTTACTTCTATTTATTATGCATTAAATTGTATGCTATATTGTTTTTACTCTGCAGCCAAAGACATTAAGAAAAATGATGCAATCTCATATGAAGAAATTTGTATCTCTCAGTGAGGTTGATTGCATGTTTCAGTTCCTCAGACTAGTCCACCCTGTGTTACTATACGACAGAGAAATATTTAAATGTGCTCTTGGTGTAAGTTTGGTTTCCTCTTTTTCTTTAAGGATAAATAGTTAATTAATTTATTTATTTTAAAATTAATTTATTAAATGATTAATTATTAACTTGTTTTGAAACTGAAACAGGTTATAACTTTTTTTGAATTAGATTTAGTTATTAAATTAATTCTTGCAAATTACACTAGAATACCAGTTTCTTGAGGAAAAGAGAAGGATTTTGAAATCAGATCAAGAGGCACATTTACTCTTAATAGTTTGGCTCTAACAGAACATACAGCATTGTAATTTTCTCTTTGACATCCAGATAAGCTGTTTTTACTATCATTGTGTTCAGATTTGGAATTAAATCTTATTTTGGCAAAATGGCAAGCTATTGATTGCTTATTCATTGGTATAAGATCTGCCTTTAATCTTTTAAATAACAGTACTTTGCTAAATTAGTGCAGAAAGTGACCTATTAAAAATAAAAGTAATTTTTAATCAGTAATTTGATGTTTTTCAGTTATAAGTTATGTTAATATTTATGCTAATTTTGTACCTTATTGGATAATGAGCCACTTTCCAGTTTTTTAGTTTTTTGAGCAAAAGCTATTCAAGCTCAACAAGTTTTTGTATTGGGAATAACATTTTAAAGGAATATTTTTAGGCTTAGTACTTATCCTTAAAATTATCGTTAAAAAGCCATGTAGTTGCTTCTTATTTTAATACCACATGTTGCTAAAATTATCGTTGATACTTTTTTTTATATCTTAATATGCATATAGTAGTCTTATGAGAATAAGTCTAACTTTAAAATGCAATAATGGAATGCTTTTTTATACTGAAATTTATGATACTGATGCAATAAATACATTGAATTTGAAAGTTTGGACACTGACCCTTTTCTACCCTTTCTTGATGAAAGACATTTTTGATGCCATATTATGTTACCTAGTTAACTATAGAACTTCTCCATAATTGTCCTTTCTGTACTGTTATTTATGCTACCGGCAGTATATGAAATACTGGCATTTTGTAGAATGCCTGGCATTTTTAGGAAAAGTATGAAATATGAGAACTATTATGTACTTTCCATACATTATCAATTATCTAGCCAATAATTGCCAATTATCTAGCCAATAATATCTAGCCAATTATCTAGCCAATAATATCTAGCCAATTATCTAGCCAATAATGTCAATTATCTAGCCAATAATTGACATTGTCAATTATCTAGCCAATAATTGACATTGTATATAATATCTAGCCATTCTATAGAATGACAAATTCTGTTTAAGCAGAATATGGAAAAAAAAAAAAAAAATCATGATAAGGTTATTATTTAAAAGAGTGCATTCCCTAAAAATACAAATACTATTTTGATGAAAAAAAATTGAAAGAAAGCCATCAAAAAAACTTTTATTATATATATATATATATATATATATAAGTAAAATGAAAATTGTTAACCTACTTGTTGCAACATAATAGCCTTAAAATTAAATTTGGATTACACTTCCTATCTTTTTTTTTCATGAAAAGACATTTCATATTTTGGCATTTTGTTTTACACTTAATAAGTCCTTTGTTGCTTCCACTGGACAACTGACTGGAGAAGAATTTTGTGGTCAATAATACCTTCAGTTCTAAGCAAGTTTTTAAGGCATAACGTCAATTATGATTTCGCATGTAGTTGTTTTTAAATTTTTGATGATATATTTGGTGTTCTTCAGTGCATCTAATTACAGCATTTGCTATATCCTCTCCATGTGTTTGACTTTTGAGGGACAATAATCCTAAAAGAAGTTCTTTGGGACCTGTAGATGAAATAAATTGTATAGAAAGTGAAACTTGTGCTATATTATTTATGTCACAAGACTCATCAACTGCTGTTGAGAAAGCTGAAAACAATTTAAGATCTTAGACTTGCTGGTTGGTTATATTTGAAAACATTTTGATTGTTCTAACTTTCACTGTTTTAGCAGACAATGGTAACCCTTTAATTTTTTTTTTTAGAATATCTGCTTCTTAAAATCTCAAAATAGCTCTTTGTATGCATTTATAAAAAAACTTCTTATGCATTCACTATTTGTATGTGGTTCCCCTCTTTTAGCAATCTCTTGACTAATCACAAAACTTGCAGTATTAACATTATTGGAAGATTGCATCCAGTAATTAAACACAGAACTTGTTTTTTCACGATTCTTCTGAAGTTCCTCAACTGCTTTCTTCCTTGCATCCTCGGCAGGATAATTAGTACTATAAATGACACGTCTAGTTGTGAAGTGTCTCTCCACATTTGATTTATTTTTATTAGCCAATTTTCCCTATCAAATAAGGCAGGTCAGAAGGCCATTTGAGTTTTGAATAAACATGAAAGTCTCTCCATTCAACTTGAATTTCGTGGGGATTTCATCTTCTATTTATCTTCCCCGCTTCTTTGTAGCCTTATTATTATGAGAAGGAATGAAATAGGGCTAGAAATAGAAAAATGGTTGAGGACCAGCTGACAGCAGTTAGGCAAAAAAACAATGGTTTCCTGGGACACAAGGAAATAGAAATGCATGTTTACATGTATGGATGTTTGCATAGAGTCACTAACCTAGTGTGATATCACTAGCCCATTTTCGAACAAGTAGCTGTAGGTGGTGAAGAGTCACACAAGAAGATAAGCAATTATACTGGCAACAGAAGGAATTCTTCAATAGGTTAAATCCCATAAAACGAGTGCTTTGTATCGAGGCAGGGACACAGTTGAGTGCAGATATCAGTGTTATTCTTGTTAGCACAACTGTACTGAAATCAGTACAATGGCCCATTTATCAATATATCAGAAAAAATCTTACTAGAATCAATACAATGACAATTTTAACTTGATACGCCAAATAACATAAAAATGAAATTTCATGTCAAAATATCTGGGTTTTTAGTTTTTAGAAATTTCCATTTTAAAGTGTTTTTCATATTATATGCAACCTAAACATTTTCTATGCATTTTATGTTGCCTAAATTCAGTTTCTAGGAAAATTTTTGTTTCAGGCACTGGAAAAACTTCAAATTTGAAAAGTCTAGAAGCTAAAAATCCTGATATTTTGAAACTAAATTTCATTTTTTACGTTATTTGGTTTCTCATTCAAGTTAAAACTGTCATTGAATGGTATATTAATTTAAAGGATTTCATTAGTTATAATTTAGCATATGTCAATTACTACAACAGTACAATTTGATATATAATCAGCACAATCAAAACACCGAAATCGGTGCAAAAAGGTTTCCGAGGAAAAACTTTGATGGATATGTTTTGAGTTGTTTTCATGCTTGTCTAAAATTTGATGGTTTTTGTGTAGTACGTAGGCTACTTTTTTCTTCAACCTCCAATGGGCTATAAAGAAAAGACGGGTGAATATACAAAAAAGATTTTATTACCAAAAGTAATGTAAAATACGGATTATGTCTCTGTGTAATCACCTTGACGATTGAGGCATTTGTCATATCTGTGAACAAGCTTTGCAATACTTTCTTCATCAAATTTCTTGCCAATGATTGAAAGTGAGTTGTGATGGTTTGAGCTCCACGTCATTTTGGAAGTGCTGCCCCTCAAGCCACTGCTTCAGTTCAGAGAAAAGATAAAAGTCACTTGGCGCTAGGTTGGGACTATATGGTGGATGTTCAAAAATGTCCCATTGAAATCGCTGAAGGAGCCGTTGGGTTACACGAGCGCTGTGAGGACAGGCATTGTCGTGGATCAGAAAAATTCCAGAAGTCAGCATGCCTCTTTGTTTGTTTTGAATAAATCTCCATAAGCGTCAGAAAGTTTCACAGTATGAATCTGCATTAACTGTTGTTCGAGGCTGCATAAACTCCACAAGCAACACACTTTTTTGGCCCCCCAAAAACTGCTGCCATAATCTTACGGTTGTTGAAGGTTTGTTTGAATTTTGTTGGAGAATTTGTGTGTATCCATTGTTGTGTTTCTCATTTCAGGCATGTCATATTGAATCTATGTCTCATCACCTGTCACAATGGATTTCAAAAAATCTTCTCCATCAGTATTGTAATGGTCAAGAAACTCTAAAGTTGCAGCCATTCGGTGAGTTTTCTGGTCGTCAATCAACATCTGTGGGACCCAGCAAGCACAAACGTTTCTGTAGCGAAGCTGTTCAGTAACGATAGAGTATAGGGAAGATCTTGAAACTTCCGGACATTTCATCGATAATTCACTTATGGTGAACCTTCAATTTTCCTTAACTGCTTGGTCAACTCATGGAAAAATGTTGTCTGTAGCGATAGACTTGGGTCCTTTGTAGCGACCGAATAGGGTCCTTGACCCCCTTCATCACGCTCATCAGTTTGGCCATCTTTAAACTTTCAACACAATTCATGAACAATGCCATCAATCGTAAAGCTACCCGACTCATTCCTCCAATGAATTTCCACTGCACTGTTCCCTTTTGCCTGCAAGAAATGGAATTCACAGTTGGCGGGAGAATCAATAGTGACAGCTGTGTTTACATGACTGCAACTCTACAGGAAATGGCATATTGAACCACATTCAAGGAGCCAAAAAGCCACATTTGGCTTGCAAGCCACGGTTTGCCGTGTCCTGGTCTAAGCCATTGCCAGTTAAGGAAGGCTAACTCATGCGTATTTCAGTCTGCTCAAATTAATGGCGACTTTAAAATCCTGGCAATATGCACTTTATCAGGAAATTCTAAATTTTTCCTTTTTCTATTTTCAGAAACATGTAAAATGAAATAAATGTTCTACTACCAGTACCACAGCAAAATGTTAGGCAGTTCAAAATTGTCAGTGAAAAGAAAACATCAGAATCTTAACCTTATCAGGTTTCTTTGTCAAATGCTGAAAATTTTCTTAGTCTAATGTGGAGGCTGAATGATAAAATTTAATGGAAGTGGGAAATAACATCACTATTTTGTTGAAATTTGTTGGGTTCCTTTTTACTTCCTTGTACGAAGTGAAAAGGAAGTATTGTAATCGCGAAAAGTTTCAGGCAGCATATTTCAGCGAAAATATCCATTTTGACCGCTATCGAATGCAATTTAACGATGTTTTTGCATGATATCTGTACGTAAGGACAGAATAAAATACTCTTTTCCTTCAAAAAAATTATAAAAACTGCTTTAAAATTAATTCTGAAGAGAATTTTTCGTGGCGTCTGTACGAACGTATGTAGTACGTGCGTGCGTACGTACCTCGCATAACTCAAAAACGAGTAGCCTCAGAACGTTGAAATTTGTATATAGGACTGCTATAACATTGTAGATGTGCACCTCGTATTTTGGTTGCAATCGGCCGCACCAAACGTATATAAATATATTATATATATATCCACTCTATTACCCGGCTCAGTGATCTCAGTTTCTTTACTCCCTATATGTTTGTAAATTGTACATTTTTTGCTTTAAAAATGATTGAATTATGTTGTTTTATCTTCCGGTTAAGGATTTTATGCCTTTAGTAAATCTGTGTGCAATATTTTTAGAATTATTAGCAATTTTAAAGTTGTTTAATTGCCGCTAAGCCTTTTTTAATGGCGGCCATTGATGATGTTTACATTTGAAACAGGAGATAGTGGATTTGTTGCCAATCTAGAGAAACTTAGCTTCGCACAACAACAAAGATAACGCCATTCATTTATTATTGCAATTAAATCATGCTTAATTCTTTCTGGAATGTTTCGAGGAAAAAAAAGCGTTTAAGATTTACTTCGTAATTTTTAATATAGATATTTTGAGTTTTTATGTATTTTTGCCTTCTCGCGAAGTGAGAACTGAATTAATTAAATGAGAAATAACTCAATCGTCTGTGAAAAACTTTTTCTTTTTTTGTTTTGTTTGCTTAATTTCTTTTATACATCGTTCTAGCTTTATTATAGTATTTGAAATAGAACATGTGGCAACGATTAGATAATTCTTTAAATGATATAACATTTGTGCATTCTGAGTTATAATATGAATGAAATATAATAACTGTTAAGTAAACATAAACACCCGAGAGTGTTATTATGGTAAAATAGCTAGAGTTTTTAAAGAATGCATTATTCTATTGTGGTTTATGCGCTGTCGGCAAAGTAGATTTAATTCAATCTAATAAGTTTAAATAAAATGCAAGAAAAAATGCATATAATTTAATATTCCGTACAAGGAAGTCATGTGGTGTACACATCAGATTTTTTTCCTCTACCATTCTTGGTATAGAAGTAGAGGCTTAGAACATTAAAATAAAACACATTACACCACATACCACATTTTCTATGCAGCTGTCTTACCATCTAGCAATGAAATTCTGCTTATGTCACAGTATAAATGCTTCCTTAGTATCAAAATGTAAATGAAAAAAAAAAAAAAAAAAAAAAAAAAAAAGCCACTTTTCTTTTTTGCTGAAACATCATAAAATATTTCTAATAAATTGTGCACCCTAAAAGTAAAACAAAAACATAAACTGCATATCATCTGAAAATTTTATTTTGTTAATTTTGAAGTAAATTGAAGACCCCCCGAAAAAAAACTGTATGTCTATGGCTGAATGTGATAAGCTCATATTATTAAATATTTCACTTCTACTGTTGAATAATAAAGAAATTGTATGTATGTTCCTTGTATTGCAGAAAATGATGGTATGTAGAGACATCAAATTTGGAACACATATGGTCTTTGAAGGCCTGAATTTTGAATTAGTTTCTTATTCATGTTATGATGAAATTTTCATTAACAAACTCAGTAATTTAGAAGTAATGTGTTGCCGCTTGGAAAAACATAAGATATTTATATTTCAACTTTAATCAGAAAACTCAGATAGGTACTTACGTTTTAATGCAACCAGGCCAAAATTCACATAAATTGCCAAATTTGGCGACCTTACTTATGGCAACCCTACGTGTTATACGTAGTTTTGTAAAAAGAGCATATGGAGATTCACAAAATTTTCCTGCATTTTCATGCAAATTTTTGTAATTTATGAGAAAATAGCAGTGTAGATGGATAAAGTCAAGAGTGTGCCGAAATGCCATTTTTGTGGAATTTGGGATGTTTTTTAAGTAAAAATAAGTGTACATGGTTATGGCGAATACGGTTTTCAGTCAGTGCTAAAGCAATAGCCAAAAGATTTCCGCTGAAAAATAATTCTGCAACTTATTCAAATTCGAAAACGGGAAGGGTTTAATGCTATTTTATATTTAAAACAAAATAATATAAAAAACTGTATTAAAAATTATCTGAATAATAATGTACATTTTCTTTCTATTCATACTTTTTATCAAACTTACAATCGCGCAACCTGGTTGCGATAATACGAAGTACCTCAGATATTTTAAATGTGTGTACTTGGCAGAATGTAGGATATTTGTCTTTCAGATTTAATCAACAGACTTGGCAATTTAATAGACAGGTGTTGTCACTGCCTAAAATAAAATTTTTTTATCTTCTATATGCCAGTGTGTTGATACCATTCATGGAAACACAAGATATTTAATATTTCTCTTTCAAATTTAATCTATCTGTTATTAAAATAGCGATTTAAAAGCAACAAATGCAGTCTTCATCTCTATTACAATAAAAAACTAGCTGGACTCCTGAAGTTGTACAGCTAGTTATTAAAAATAAGTAAATTGTTATTATATATATTATATATATAATATATATCTAACTTTTTTAGGCACCTAGCCATGCAAGCAGCTAGTTTTAGCTTAAATAAATAAATAAAAAATTATATATGCATATCTGTTTATGTATGTGTATAAAGTAAGACTTCTCATTTTATCTTTTCTACTTTATGAACAGAAGTGTATGATGATTAAAATTTGATGAGAATTAATTTTTTGATTGTACACAGGGTGGATGGAGTGTGCCCATTGAACTGGTTATAGGACCTGATCTTGGAATCAGTTATTTAACAGATAGGGCACCTCAGGTATGTTTTATTGAATTTTTAATGAATCATTGAGTATTATGGTTAGTGAGTTTGTGGTCATCGAATATTATTAAGTTGTGAATCGTACAGAGAAAATTTTTGAATAAATACATTGTGCTGAATTAAAATCTTAATGTTGATATAATAAAAAGTAAGAATTAGTTATCTTTTCGATTTTCCAGTTTGAGTGGAAATATTTTCTAATTAGTTTTAAGCAAATAGCTGTATGCATTCTTACGAAATTTTTCTGATCATAAAAATTTCCATGAGATAAAATTTGAAATTTTTACTCTCATACTTTACCAAAAGGCTTCGTTTTATTAAATTTTAGTTCCACTCAAAAATATGGGTTTATATGTCTGTTTTAATTTTTAAAAGAAAAGTTGTTAATGAATAGTAATTCTAGAAAACTCTCCAAAAGCATTAAATTAGAAAAATATTTACAATAATTATAGTACCAGAGAAATGAGGGATTTAGGGTTTCTTTTTGTTGTTGTCGTGTCTATTATAAAGCCTATCCATATAGTGCCATGAGCAAAGATGACAGCTTTCACAATCTGCAAAATGTTATCATCATAGAGGTTTGGTCTCTTAAATAAGACTTGAATTTTTAACAATTCAGCAAGGATGGCCTGACAATAAAAAATGTGTACAGTTGTTAATTCTGTGTCTGGGCAGTTATCAGTTTCTATAGGGGGAAAAAAAAAAAAAACTTTTTTCACTTGTTTTGAAAATATAAAATAATGAAAAAAAAAAATTTTCCCATATTCAGTCTATTCTGGATATTGCTTTCAGTTCATTCTTTTGCTCCTTTTCAACTTCTCTTTCCTGAAATTTTTTCTTTGTACTAATATTCTTATATGATCAGTATCATGCATTTTATCCATATAGAATTCCATGTATAATTAAGGGGGGGGGTTGCAGTCATATATACAGTCAAACCCCATTATAGTGATCTTCAAGGGATCAGAAGTTTGTTTCATGATATCTAATCCAATAAGAAAAATGAATTTTCTTGCAAAAAATGTGTAAAAATTGAATAACAAAGAAAAAACTAACATTGTTACATCTCAAACGAAGCGAGTAATAAATTTAATTAAAAAATATTATGATTTAATTGCAATTATTATTATGTGCAGTTATTAAATTTGTTGTTTATTCTCTTTTAGTCTGTTCAATGTGTCTGGCAAATTCATTTGCTTTTATCTGAAGCATATGTCCAGCTATTGACAAATTATAGCTTCTTTCAATGCAGTCCATTTCAAAAAGTCTTCTTCAACATGTTTATTCTATACCTTTCTTAACTCTTCCCTCATAATCCAAACTTTTTCCTTTAGCAGAAATTATACAATTTTGATTTTATCATATGATACCAATTGTGTATAAAATGTATTTGATTGCACCCATTCAGTATTTTTTTACTAATGTAAAGCTTATCTTCAATGCAGAAACTTTGCATTTACAGTTAGCCAAGTGGTTGAATTTTTGGCACAGAAACACAGCGCTGAGAGTCAAAAGAATATGCAAAAGGTTTGCTCTACTATAAAATATGTAAAAGGAAGATAATTTCATCACCTACATAATATATTTGATATCCATTGAGAACATTGAGTCATTCTTCCCAATATATGCATGGTTGTGAGACAAAAATTTAATAATCTTTATAAAGAATATCTTAAGTCTTGCAAAAGACCTAAAGAATGCAAAATGTCTGTTTGGAGGATAGAACTTGGATAGCATTCATATTCAAACAAAACAAATAGATTTTCTTAATAATAAACAGGAAAAAAAAAATTATACCCTAAAAGAAGAATGAACTGAAAACCACGAACACATAAGATTCACTACTTTCTCTGTACCTGAATAGTAATAGCTTAATATATCCTATCATACAAAGAATATTCAAATTAAATATTTTAAAATGTAACATTAACAAATTCTTTTGATAACTTCTACAGTTTTAACTGTGATAAAAAATATTTGTGATATTAGTCCATTAGCCCCTTAACTGCCGTGGAAAATGTACAAGATTAATTTCCCTCTGCCACGGTTTTTCACGTAGGCGCGTGTTGATATGCGATTTATTAGGGGGAAAATAAGTGCAAGTTTTACTTTTTGAAAACTGTTTACTTTCACAAAATAAAGAATAAAAGAAAAAATGAATGCACAAAATTTAATGTGTTGAGTAAAAGTATAATAAAAAGATGTAAGTATAATAAAAATGATGTTTTTATAATAAGAAAGATCCCTAAAATATAGTTCTATCAATTCATTTTTAGACCAGTAGTGTAATATCAAGTTTCAGTGTTATACCTTGTAAAATCAGTATGCCTTAAAAAAACATATATTTCTTCTGAACTGGTTGAATGCACAATTTTGTTCTTGATTTTCATTTGCAAGGTTTTTTCATATACTCGTCTACAACAGTAGTTTCAGTAAAATATGAAGTGCGAGCAGTTCATCAAAAATAATCGAAAAAGGAAAATGGGTTTGAAACATCGTTATATCTTCTTTCTTCTGGAATCTGCTACAGAAAGTAACGAAAATTGGAGGAACAGAATATAATAATAAAAAAAAAAAAACGTTTTACTCAAACAACACCAGCCAATACCGCTCAGTCATTACTTTCACCGCTTTAGACACATCCCTCTCTCCAATTTCTCCCCACACTTCTCTGAAATAGTATCCTCCTTCACTTACTTTGTCAAAGCCATTGTGGTATTGCATTCCAAAGCTTTGCGAATAATTTTATGGATAGCAGCGCAAAGCAATTGATAGTATTTTGGAAGGGACCGGGGCAGTTAACATATTAGCTGAGCAAGGCATATATACATGCCCACGGCAGTTAAGGGGTTAAGTCATTTAATGTCTTTTAACTTGTATATTTTATTTGCATTAAAGTAACAAGTTTCATCTTCAGTGAAAGATAAACTGTTTCACTTTCAGTGGAACATTTTTTCACTGTGTTTCTTTCTCTTTGAAATACTGTATAAAAATTTATTTAAATTAGCTATCCATTTTAACATCAGACTGTGTTTTCAGCCTACCCACATGGCAAGCTTTCATCAGGTGCAATCATTACAAACTGTTCAATCTGAATATGAATCTGGTTGCAAAGCCATTTTGCAACTGAAGATAGCTGGTGCATCTGAGGTTTGTTTTATATATGCATATATTTATTTTGTTGTACGCTTGCTTTCACTGATTGTTTTCATTCATAAAAATATATGTTTTTATTATTAGTTAGCATAAACTATTCTTAAATTGCTATCTGGTCATTCGACCCATTTTCTTGTGTCTTCTGGTGAGGTTTCTAATAATTGCTGAAGTAATAGTTTTCCTCAGATCACAATTATTATATATTCTTTGACTTAGACTGCTCATCTATTTATTGAAAGTATGGGAAGAATATTAATAGCTTCTTCAGATAGATGTGCAACTATTTGAAGTGCTCTATTAATTTGATCTTCAGAGCTGTTTCTCAGTGGGTCTCGTAGATATGCCAGAGAAATTGTCTGTTGAATAGAGAACTTGATGCTGGGCATAGACAAAATTTTGTTTAATTTGAAGATATATGAGGTACTTTCTGATCATCTGCACCCTTACCAAAAAGTCATGAACTTATTGGCTACTTCAAAGAGCATTCACAAACTAATTGATGACTAATTTTTTGCCAGTATAATGTGGGAAAAAGCAATAGCCATTTTCAAACTGATGCTGCACTAAGAATGACGTACAAGAGTAATCAATCAATCAAATTAAGAAAGTAAGAAACATCGGTAATAACAAAACTCTGATCTTTTTCAAGAAAGCTTTCTATTTTGCACTGTTATTCTCTCCATGTACATAGTGATCTGTTTTTGTTTATTAAAAAATTTCCAAGAATTGTGCAAATTCTACATATGGCAATTTGGCATTGCATACTGGCTTATACAGTGCTACGTGTATAACTGAGTTGCCATATAAAAACTGTATGTTTCCATCATGGGTTTATCATATAACTATTTTGGTGATTTACTACTTTGTGTCATAAATGCTGTTTTGTGACTTGTTTGTGATGTTGTGTATAGTCAGAAAGTGCCATGTAGGAGTCTCTGGCAGAAGTTTGGAGCTCTCTTTTCCAATTCTGAAGTTTCATAGCCTGTATATCCAGTTTTGTGTCTTAACATTATTTTTGCTGTTACAAAGTCTATGTTGACACAATTTTTTGTACTTCTAGTTCTCTTTATTAAATTTCTTTATCTTTTTGTCTCTTAATTTTTGAATATTTTATTCATTATTAGTTTTTAGAAATTTTGTATCTTAATCCTATATATTTTTTATTATATATTACAGATTTTTTCAATTTTTACTTTTGTGTTAAAAAGAGCTTTTTCATTCGTGGATGTAAACTTACCATAAGTTTTCTTTCTCTTATGTTTACAAGGATATTATAGAGTGTAATTAATGTGAATAATTAGTGTTGGATAAGCATCATTCATTAGAATAAATATAACACCTGACTATTCATCCCTAATTTCATCTGTAGATGCTGAGTATATCATGCCCAACTTTAGCAGTTGCAGAAAGTATGGCTGACCTTATTGATGGTTACTGCAGACTAGTCCATAAAACCCAAACTTCCTTTTGGAACAAGAGAAGTACATATTATATTGCATTTTATATTTAACTTTAGAATGAGAAGTAATGTAACATATTCTGTGATATTTTTTCAGAAACGGTCATTATTAAAAATGCTTTTTTGTCATTGCTTTCTTTATTCTCAGGAGTTCTCAGAATGTTTTATGATGCTATAACTCAGCAAAAGAAGTATAATAATTATCTTTACTGTAAAAGAATTATGCTACTCAAATGTTTAAACTTAATTTTCCTCTCATGAGCTAAAAAAAAAATTAATTTGTGTGAAAATGCCATTATTACCCCCCCCCTTTTTGAGTGTTGTAATAACAACCTCTTTTTTTTTTTTCTGTAATGCTATTTTCTTTTTCAGGTATTTTAATAAAAGAATAGCAGTAATTTTTTTCGCATGAAATAAAACTTCTATTTTCTCACAAATCTTTATTTTTAAACAAAAAAGTATGCAAATTTAAAATAAGAACAGATGTTTGCAGTTGATGATAAAATGAAAACGAATATTTTTCTGTAGATCAAAAATTTGGAAATGATGTTGTTAACTGGTTAACTTTTCTTTTACTTTTATCATATGACCTTATATTAATAATTAAGCATAAAATGAAGTAAAAACATTACGTAAAGAATATGGAAAATCTACTATCCTAAGAAAGACTCAACTGGTAGATAAATTTCGAACAAAATATAGGTTGTGATTATTGTTTCTTGCATATTATATAAGCTACTGTATATTCTTCAGTTCTTTTTTCAAAATTTTTGCATGGTCGGATTTGATTACACCTGCATTTGCTTTTTTTTTTTTTTTTTGGGTAGTTCTTGACTGAAGATTGCACCTATTCTCATTCTTACATATTCATGTGTTAATGTATACTGATATTTAATTTAAGCTATTAATGGATACTGATATTATTTATTTTTTCTTTTCCTTTTTAGATGAACGATGTCCAAGTTTAAGGTGAGTATTGTAATTTTAAGCTAGGAAACTGCATTAAGAATTTTTTTGTAAGTAAGCAATGCCATTTTGAATTTTTTATGTAGCATAATAGTATGAATTACATTTTTGATTATATTTATTTCAGTTCACCATTAAGTGATTCAGTTGATGACAATTCTGACAACAAACAAGATGTAGTTTTCAGAGGCAAGTCATTTTCTTTTTGATCTGAAATTGTACTATTGATTCTTTGAATAATGGGGATACAGTATGATTTATTTTGATCAATTTAGTCATTAGTTAACCCTTTGACGGTTATGGAAATGAGCAGTTTCCGTTTACTTAATTCGCGCAGCATTAGGAGTAAACAGTAGTCGAAAGTGGCAGCTGTTTTTCCCCGCCGTTCTTCCGAAAATGTCACCTTTCTCTGGCGATGCCGCAGATAACTCGCCTCGCGCGTTTTAAAAATTTCTTAAAGTATTTGTAGTACATAAATAACAGTTTTTACGTACTTTAAAATAATTATTAAACAGTAAATTATAAATGATTATAACCAATTATATAAATAATAATAGTTAATTATAAATATAAGACAAATATTAAATTGAAAGGAATAAATAAATACAACTAATGTAAAACTTTATGAAGCACAGTGTAAATACAGTAATTACCTAAAAATCTTTTTGTGTGCGATATATAGTTTAAAACATGGAATTGCACATAATAGGGCATTGCAGTTTTTGCAATAAGTACGTGTTTCACGGCGAATTCTTTTTCCACTAGCATCATTTTTGCTGCAACATACCACACATCGTCTAGTAGGTTCTTTTTTTTTTTTTTTTTCTGTACGTGGAATATAATCAGGAAAGTGGCGGGCTGACAACTCTTAAAGTATTCGAAACTGTTTCAGCAGGTTTTGATTTCAAATGTCTATGAGTGTGATATTTCTCAACAATTCTTTCAGCTAGTTCAATTCTGAATTCCAAATTTTATTTTTTATTCCCCTTTTTTTTCCACAGGCTGAAAAGCATTAAAAATTGTTATGTCCAATAAATAACGAAATATTTTCTTGTAATATTTCCTTTGTCGAGATCGGGTTACATCATAGTATTCTTTGCTCTTAAATTTATTTAAATTTTCAGCAGCAAAAATGTTGGTTTCCGTAACAATATGATTTATAATCTCATCAGTAAAAAACAGCTCAAAATACTCTAGTGGATCAGAAATATTTGTCACGCAAGCTTTCATGTCTACATCACCAGTAAAACTAAATCGGCTAGGAGCGTGAGAACTTGAATCAATTATACACCACTGTCGAACACTCGAAAAATCTTCCTCATCGCTTGAATCGTCTTCTGAGCTTGAAATACTGTGAACAAAAAAGCCTTCATCAGATTCAAAACTTGATAAGCTTTCTGTATCATAATCATGATCATAACTATCTAACTTTCGCTTTTGAGCCATTTTACTGTACAAAAACCCTGAAAACCGCGCCAAAATACGTATAAAATGAACAACGTAAAAAAAAAAGTCCACCTTCATTATGCAAAGAAATTCATGGAACTCGTACTGCCATCTGTAGACAGTAAAACTAACTAAATTCGTTTTAATAATTCGTTTGAAACACAATCAGTGCAGAATGATAATGGCGAACGAAGTCAGCTCGTCAGCGCGCATTGGGAAAAAATTTCACTACGCGAGTAGTGCTCGTTACTAACCATTTCGGTCAAAATCTTGCTCCTGAGCGGAACTCGTTTGTGCACATTATGAAGCACAATTCGATTGCAAGCTGAACTCGTTCATAACCATCAAAGGGTTAATGTTACAACATCTGCATTTGACAAAAATTTAAAAATACAGTAGACACTACTTAATGTGATCATGGTTAATGTTATTTGGATATTGTTACTGAGTTGCCGAAGTCCCGATCATTTGTACATGAAAACATGGAAAATACGTCACTTATTGTGGTCAACAACTTGATTAATATAATCAAACTATTATAGAATATATTTTTAAAATTAAAGTTGCCAAATAAAAAGATAATTCACCAGATAAGATCAAAATTGATTATAAAAATTACCAAGAGCCAGAGAAATGTCATTAAGTGAAGGGCTAAGTTGTCAAATAGCTTGGTTTCAATTTCAGTCAACCATTTAAAATTAGATAAAAAAGCAGCCTTAGTTTTATATAGATTTTGAATAACTATTGATTTTGAGGGTGATCAGGCATAAGGTTTCTTCAGGGGAGGAATTCTGCAGAATTCTTTCTTTTCCCTTGGAAAATACCCTGAAAATATGTACGAAAAACTGAGATTTCTTTTGTGCTTAACTTCAAATTTCACATTGGCATTTCCTCTTCCAATAAGGGATGAAATATATTCCAAATATTAAGATTAGAGGTACAGCATTGGTCAAATAATTTTTTCCAGAAATGTTATGAATGTTATATATTAAAGACATTATGATTACTTCATAAACAAACTTTTGAATTTTTCTAACTAAAATGCTATGAAAATACTTTATTTATATATTTCTTAATATTTTTATGTTAAATTAGTTAAAATCATTTGCTAGTCTGAAGGATATTTTTTGTCATTGTTTAATGTTGTCATTTAGTTAATGTTTCCAAACTAGCCATGAACAAAGGTTATAAAGTTATACTTGGTCTAGAACTGTTACTTTAGTCCTATAACCCTAACAGACATGTGGTAAGTCATTGCTATGTCTGAGATAGAACAACAAAGTGTAAGAAAGGTTTACAAACAACCTTTTTATTTAAACAGTATTCTGAGCATAAAGACTCTACTTCGCAGCTCGTGGTGATCTAAATACATAGCAGCCAAATAAATTTAAATGTTGATCAGTAATCTAAGATTACTCAGTGAAATACTGAGCTACAAGCTGGCTCAATAATCTACCAGTGTGTTTTATTAAAGTATCAGTGGCAAAAGAGCACAAAGCCAAGATAGTTACAACTAGCTAAAGCTGGCAGAATTAAGCCATGTAATGTACATGTCATAAACGCTTTCTCAAGATCCAAAAACTTCAAGTTAAATACACAGCCAACTAATTTCCATTCTGGTGAGGAATGTAGAAAGAAGTTAAAGTAAAGGACCAAATCATAGTAACTGGCTAGTTTAAAATAAGAAGCTTACAAAGTGATCACATTAAGGAGCACCTACTGTATGAAACCAAATTCAGAAAGTAATTGGATGTTCTTTTTTATTTTATTTTGAGGCAAAATATTTGTTGCTTTAATTGGAATGTTAAACCTGTTGTTTTATTTGCAAGAAGTATTATGATATCAGGTATACATTCTTATATTATTTATGAGGCATAAACTGTAATGTTACATGTATTTACTATGATTTTATGAATTTTTGCTTTGTTTTTGTTTTTGAGGTGCAGTTAGAATTTTGACTCGTATATTTTAATGTAATCAGTCGTAAGTGTGATAAATAAATATTAGAACCAAATCTGAAATTTTTGTTTTAAAGTAAAAGTATCTCAAAAGTTTGCATTAAAATTTTTTTAAAAAAATTTAAACAAATGGAAAAACTTGTAAAATGATGATGATAATTTGTAAGTTGATATTAGTAGTATATTTTCTGTTGATTTGCTTTTTGTGAGAGGTAAGAATAACACATAAGTATATAGAAGAGGCTTAGCAAAAATATTATTCTTCTTCATATCATAGTCCTAAAATGACAACTGAAATTTTATTATTTTCATTTTACTTTTTATTTTTCTTCTACATTTGTATATTTTTCAGTTTTTATATAAAATTTTATAACTATTTTAAAAATTTCCTTCCCTGTGATAACTAAATAAACTGCATTCATTTTCACACAAATAAAATGATACTTAAATTGACAATTTAACTTTTTTTGATGAAACTGGAGGAAACTGTGTTTTGAAGGCCGTGGTAGCTTCAAAGTGAAGCACTGCATGAAATACTGAAGTAGCATCATTTTATAGAGATAGACATTGTGATTTACGCAGTATTCGTGGCAATACCTATATAGACTAAACTAAAATGCAATTCCAAAGAGGAGCAGAAATACCGCTCCGTCATTTTAAATTCTTAGCATTCTGACTTATAAGGGATTCACATTTACCTTTGACACTGACATTGACACATTGACATTTACCTTTTTCCAGTAGTTTTTCTTTTTTGTTCTTCATTTCAACAACTGATGTTTGTTTTGCAATTGTGTTTAAAGTTATGATGTAGTTTTTCAAAATAATTGTTCTGCAGTTGGAAAAAAAAAAAAAAAAAAAAAAAAAAAAAAAAAGAGTTTAAGTTTTAATTATAGAAAACAGTATAAAATAAAAGTATAAATAACTTATATCTTCTTCTTTATCCTTGTAAATTACATAAAGAAATACAGTAGACCATCATTCACAACTTGGACATAAAGATGCATTTATTGCTTGTCCTAATGGTTATGTGTTTTTCATTCATACAGGATTCAGTCTGCAAAATGCAAAATTTCTGCAGAAGAAAAATATATATGTAAGACAAAAAATATGTGAATCAAAATTATAATTTAAACTAACGGTAAAACATTAATTCTCTCTCTCTGTTCTAAAATTCGTTTGCATTGCGTCATTTCTAGATCTTTCCTTTTCTTTCTTTTTTGCATGGCCTGCACAGCATTGAATTCCATTATATTAAAAAAAAAATAAAAATTATTAATTGGGAACTGAAACTACCATTGTAAACTGAAACTTTTCTCTTCGCGTGCTTCCATCTTTCATAACTACGCACTTCAGCTTCTGTCTGTGCTGTGCTTGGACCCAATTTCACTACGCTGTCCTATTGCAATAATATCAATAATGTAAACGTTTTTGAATAGGCATGACTAGGGTGCCAAGTGATTGTGGCCACATAATGTCAATTGGAAATAAAAATGGAATTAAAATTGCCTCGACTGCCAAGTTTTATTTTGAAGTCAACACATTAGCTTACGACGCAATCAGAATACTTCCTCTTCAATATAGCATAACTACACAGCAGCAGTGCTTCGTCTTTTCCTTTGCTTTTATTATATCATATATATATACAATTCAAGCACAGAACTTCTCAATTGTATTATTATTATTACATTTGCCAAAATTGCTTAATATTTTTAGGGAAATCAATTATGCGTTTATTCAAGAACTTGATTAACTGGTTGTTAGATAACATATTTTAGACTACAGATATTAAGAAGTGGTCCTAGCATAATCATTATGTTTCACAGAATGATAGAAAAAAATCTGGCAGAAATGTAAAGGCAAGTAGAAAAATCCAAATTAAGCAGATTTTGTAATGAGATGTGTATGCAGAAGTGATGTTTTAAGATGATACGGAGGACTGTTGAGTAGTAGGCATTCTTTTTGTATAAATAATTTCCTGTACATATTTGAAGTGGGATGCAGTGGCTACATGAATGTGGAACTAATCAGCATGCATTTTATCTGTGGGGTTGTGGTTAGAGATGGAATAGCTACTGAAAAGAGTTACTTGGGAATCATTCTACATAATTCCTTTAAGTAGTTGCTTGCAAGCCTAGCAATGTAAAAATTAATAGAATTTTTTTTAACTGCCAATTACACTTAACTGGGGATCAAATTAATCTGTGCTCTAATTTGACACTTCCGAGAGATGATGATTTTATTATTGCTGGAGCATTATTTTTTCCTGCCTATAATTAATATATAATACTGCAATGTAATGTAGATTATCAACAATAGTTTAAAATATTATTAACAGATAAAATGTTAAGAACCTGGTTTTAAATAGCTGTAGCTTTATGAATATGATTAATGATCACTAATATGAGCATGTTTTCAAAGTAAGTACTGTTCGGAAATAAAAAAGAAACAAGTAGAATTTTCTTACTAATTTTATTTATATATAAAAGTCTGTACCTCAGTCTATTTTTCTATATAATTTCCATCAAAAGTAAGGCCTTGTCATATCATACAACGAGTTTTTGAATCTTCTCTTCATAGAAATTTGCCATTTAATTTGACATCCACTGCAACATGGTTGTTTTGACCTCATCATTGTCACTGTGGCGATCAAGTTGTTTCCTGCGAAATGGCATATTGAGATTTTGAGTTCATTTAGCCATTTGTAGATGATTATTTTCAAAAAGTAAAATGAACCCTCTACTCAACATGTCACACTTTTTGTTTTTGGTTGCATGGTGAGGTCTCACAATATATCCTAGAATTTATTGTGGCACCACGAGACAAAAAATCCACTAGCAACATCCTCATCTTCTTGTCCCCAAACATCTGATTTTCTGAATGGAAACTGTTTGCTTCAACTTCACTCTCTTGAGTGATGATAAATGCGGCCATTCATAGATTGCTGCTTTGATTCTGGTGTAGCATTAAGTCACTCAGGTTTCATCACCTGTGACAGTTTGTCTTAAAATATCATCACCGTTTTACTGTACTGCTGAAGGAAGGTTAAAGCACTACCTAAATGTTAGGTTTTGTGCACCTCTGTCAACATTTTCAGTACTCAACGTGCACACAGTTTTTGATATTTTAAGCATTTGCTCACAATTTTATGCAAAACACTCCATGAAACCCAAGGATCAGATAATAATGAAATTATTAATCATCTTTAAGCCATTTTAAATACACAAATGTTAACAGAGTCAAAATTTTCCATAATGGTGCCTGTGTCTTGTCAACAGACATAAGTAAACAGGTATGAAGAACAGCATACATGGTATGGCAACCACAGTGCTGTTGTGCCAGAATTTCAAAACGGTTTTTACTTTAAAAACATGCATCATACATTGTAAGATTTTTTTAATAAGAACAACTATAATAATCAACTTAATTTATGGTTAATGATTTTAATAATTATAGAATTATGTGAATTATCAATATTTCTAAATTGCTTGAAAAGTTAGATTATTATTGGTTTTATTTAAAGTTGTTGAGTTTTAAGTCCTTCTTCTTGGGGGGTTCCTGAAGAAGGATCTGTGCAGTTACCTTTGAAAATCAGTAGAGCTTTAAGTAAAATTGATATATAAGGTGCCTCATCGAGCAACTTTACATTTCACATTCATATAATTATCTTCTATGTAGGCTGAATGTGTTTTTAATGGTATCAACAATGTAATTTCTAATTATTGTTAATGATTCAGCAAATCTTATGCTTTTTGGCAGCTGCGCTTAATTGAAACTGCATGTATAATGTGCATTTTAATATGTATTTATGAGTCTCTCATATGAATGCGTATGTATGAGTACAAAATACATACTCATACATTCTCGTATATAAATATGTATGTATGAGTAACAAAAATTTAAAATTTTGATATAGTTTATTTAGAATGATCTAAAGCAGATAAAAATAAGAAATGGATAATTATATCTTTTTTTTAATAATTAATTACATGGAATGAAACAAAAGTGAATTATTTGCTGAACTTTGCTTAAATTATCAATGTTTTTCTAAATTAGGAGATTCTAGTGATTTAATTGATGATGAAGGAGATTATTCTACTCCAGTTGGTAAGTTCTGTCACTTTGTTTTTACTGTATCTCAAAATTTTTTAACGTTAATTTATGTGTTATTTTATTTCTTGATTTTAAACATTACTATTTGAAAAACTTAGTCATAATTTGTTTATAATTTTGAATCTGACTGAGAAGTGAAAGCAAATTTCTAAATTAAACCCAAGGTTATCTGTAAATATGGCTTCATAATGATTACCCATGAGCAATGAGAAATGGGTAGTCACTGTTTTACATGTTCTGAAAAGCATAGATGTTTTTGCATGCTTCTTGTTGCATTATAATGAAATATGTATACTATAGTCAGGGCTGGATTTCTGCTTTCAGAAAAAAAAAAAAAAAACATTGCATTATTTAGTACTGCCAAAAATCCATTTTTAAATACTTTGTTGTAAATGAGTATTATTTTAAATTATTTTATTTCATATCAGAAATTGCTATATGAGTCAGCTCTTCTGTATACTTTAATTCAAGAATGTTAGAATAATATCTATTAAGGGTATCTCATATGTTTTGAGTAATGAGCTGTTAGTTACTAATACTGCTCATACTTATGAGTGTATTTTCTTTATTTCTTTAAGTGCAAGTTTTTAAAAAAGAACAAAAGAACAGCAACATACTGAGTACAAACAGCCAGTACAGCAAATAAAAGAAATAGGAAAAGAATGCAAGTAAAAACTCTTGTAACAGATTATGAGCATAATATGGAATTAGTGAGAAAGAATATTTGTGAAGGGATATTTTCAACTTATGGATGTTCTGCTTGTAAACATTCTTGGACCTTTTTGTAATGATTCATACAGTATTTGTTCAGAAATCATCACAAATAAGCTATTTAGCATAAAGAGTAATTAAATACTGTGAAATCACTGTGTTGTAGCAGTTAAAGTATATTGCTGTTACACTGGATTAAAAAAATGGCTGTTCTGTTGCAGATCTTTGGTATATGGTTAACACTAATGTATCAATGATAATCTTGTGGGAGCTAATGGGAAATAAGTTAAGAGTAGGTTCAATCATCTACAATAATTCAATATCATATGCTAGCTTATATGTGTCACCAGAATTGGCAATTTAGCATCAAGTAAGTATTAGGATGGTTTTTTTACTTTCTTGTACGAAGTAAAAAGGAAGTATTGTAATCGCGAAAAGTTTCAGGCAGCGTATTTCAACGAAAATATCCATTTTGACCGCTATCGAATGCAATTTAACGATGTTTTTGCGTGATATCTGTATGTAAGGACAGAATAAAATACTCTTTTCCTTCAAAAAAATTATAAAACTGCTTTAAAATGAATTCTGAAGAGAATTTTTTGTGGTGTCTGTCCGAACGTATGTACCAACGTACGTATCTCGCATAACTCAAAAACGAGTAGCCTCAGAACGTTGAAATTTTGTATATAGGACTGCTATAACATGTAGATGTGCACCTCGTATTTTGGTTGCAGTCAGCCGCATCAAACGTATATAAATATATTTATATATATATCCTACTCTATTACCCGGCTCAGTGATCTCAGTTTCTTTACTCTTATATGTTTGCAAATTGTACATTTTTTTCTTTAAAAATGATTGAATTATATTGTTTTTATCTTCCGGTTAAGGATTTTATGCCTTTAGTAAATATGTGTGCAATATTTTTAGAATTATCAGCAATTTTAAAGTTGTTTAATTGCCGCTAAGCCTGTATTTAATGGCGTCCATTGATGTTTACATTTGAAACAGGAGACTAGTGGATTTGTTGCCAATCTAGAGAAACTTAGCTTCGCAACAACAAAGATAACGCCTTCATTTATTATTGCCAATTAAATCATGCTTAATCCTTTCTGGAATTTTTTCGAGGAAATAAGCGTTTAAGATTTACTTCGTAATTTTAATATAGATATTTTGAGTTTTTATGTATTTTTGCCTTCTCGCGAAGTGAGAACTGAATTAATTGAATGAGAAATAATCAATCGTCTGTGAAAAAACTGTTTCTTTTTTGTTTTGTTTGCTTAATTTTTTTTATACATCGTTCTAGCTTTATTATAGTATTTGAATAGAACATGTGGCAAACGATTAGATAATTCTTTAAATGATATACATTTTGTGCATTCTGAGTTTAATATGAATGAAATTAATACTGTTAAGTAAACCTACGCCAGAGTGTCGCTATGGTAAACAAAGTGAATTTTAAAGAATGCATTTATTCTATTGTGGTTTATGCGCTGTCGCGAAGTAGGTTTAATTCAATCTAATAAGTTTAAATGAAATGCAAGAAAAAATGCGTATAATTAATATTCCGTACAAGGAAGTCAGTGGTGTACACATCAGATTTTTTTTTTTTTTTTTTTTGTGATGCAATGAACCTTTGGGACTGATGGAAAATAATTGACTCCCTTTTTCTTGTACTCAGTTCTCTAATGAAATCTTCCTAAATGTTTTATCTTCTATATCATTATCTAGTTTAAAGAAAAATATTGCAAATGAAGATTTTGTAATTCTTATTTATACAGTGGTGGTATTGCCTGCTGGCCTTGAAAAAATATTCTCTAGTTTTTTTTTTTATTTATGTACAATAAATGCTTTGAAAAGTCTTTGAGTTTTGAAATCAGAACCAAGTTGGTCTTCTACTGCTTTGTGGAAAAGGTTAAATTGAGTTTGAATTGTTATATGTAACCCTTAATTACTGTTATAAAGCCTCTGAATAAATATCGTAAACACAGTTACTGAACTTTTTTTATTTTAAAATGAATTCCCTTTTACTGTTAGCAATATTTTAATTTGTCTTCAGTTATTTTATGACTACTGCCACTTTTATGGCAGAGACTAGCTCTTGCCATGACGGTTTTAACTAATTTTAACCACTTTAGTAGAAACTCTGCAGGGTACAGTACATCCTAGTGCAGTTAATAAGCAGAATTTGTTTTAAGAGTTGTATTCAGTCTAGCTTAGTTTGAATGGTAAAGTATAATTCTGTTTATGACTTACAACTTTTGTAAAAGTTTTTGTAAATTTAATCTTTTTACAGTTTTTTTTATAGGAAATGAGATGAGGGAATTGGGAGAAGTTTGGTTTATTGGGAGAAGTTTGGTTTATGTTTAGAATAAACTTATGGCTTTTTGTGCTGTTTCTCTCATTTTAATTAATTAATTAGTAGATTTCATATTATTTCATTTCTAGATATCTTAGAACTTTAGAAGTGCTATGATTGTTTTTATGTTTACTAAATGTTTATCACATGCAGCAGTACAGCTGTTTCACTTAAACTTTCATGCTGAAAACAGTTATATAGTCATTCATAACTTGAGAAAGGAATTAAAGTGAGAATTACTTCTTGAATAGGCCGATTTAAATAACACCGAAATCAAGGCAGAAGACAACATGATAAAGTAAAATATGAAATTAGGTGAACAATGACTCTGTGTTTGGCATAGATTTAGTCACGATTGGATTTATCCTGAAAATTGGTCAAAAAAAAACCTACTTAGAAATATCTTCTCTGGTAGAAATTTCGTGGCGATCATTTTAAGAATAGGTTCAAAGCAGTTGTTCCCTTTAGCTATTTTGTAAAAAAATAGAGTATTCTTGCAGAAATTTCATCATAAATTTCTTCTAGGCCAAGTAAATTCCACATTTACATGTTTTAAAATTTGTGAATATTTTTTTTTTTTTATAAAAATCTTTCAGATACAGCAAAAAGAATGCATGTGAATGGTGACATTGGTTGCTCAAACTGTTATGCATATGATTACCTGAAGAATTATTATGGGCACGGTTGCCTGAGTTTGGTGCATTCTGGAAATTTGATGACCTCTTTTAAAGTGGTTTTGCTAATACATGAGAGTATCAGTGTCACAGGTTAACATTTTGAACAAGTGCAATGTTTAATATGACTGTTAAATTCACCAGTCTTCCATAGAAGGTGAATAGAAATAAATAAATAAATAAATAAATAAATAAAAAAAAGATGTGTTAGTAAAGATTCAACTTAACTGAAAGTTTATGAATGTATGTTTATCTTGAAAAGAAAATTTACAAAATGTAAGGACTAAAATTGTTCTGTCAGTTTCACTTTTTTAGCTGATTATTTGTTTAGCAGTATTTTGTGGATCAATACATCTGATTTTTGTCCCTTTTTCACCTTAAAAATTAGCATTGTCATGCAAGACAGCCATTGTGATTTTTATGTAAGAAGCAAATGTGTGGCTAAAATAACTCTGTACAAATCTTTTTAATTCTAATAAATTCTAAGTACAAGTTGGACATTAAGATCTTGAGATGTTGGAATTAAAATTCATTAATCAGAATTGTATTGTGTTATAGCCCGTGATTATGAATTGAATAGAGCTGATATAGTACTAGAAGATATCATAGGAGAAGGCCAATTTGGAGATGTTCATAAGGGAACTTACAAATGCAAAGTAAGATTATCAAATTGATGTTTATCAGTATCGTAGCATATGAAAAATTCTTGTATTCCAAAAGTGAATTTACTTTTTATTTTAAGGATTCACAAACTATACCTGTGGCAATCAAAACTTGCAAAGTAGAAAGTGAAGAGTCAATAGGAGAAAAATTTTTGGAAGAAGCCTGTAAGTTATGTTCCTTTGCAATGTGTGTATTTTTATAGCTGTAAGACTATTATTGCCTCAGTACAAGAAAGTTTTTTTTTTTAAATTTTATTTTATTTATTTATTTATTTTAAATCTTGAATGTTATGTATAATATGGGTAAAATGAAACAAATAAAGTCCTTGTTTCAGCAATAGGGGAATGAAGACAAACAAGAAATGTACCAATTTCTTTTTTGTCTTCTAAAGAATTATTCTTTAAATTCTTTTTTAAAGGCATTATAAAATAACTGTTTAAAATATTTAGCATTAAACTTCATAAGTGTTTATATGTTTTAGAATGAAGTCTGTTTGTTGGAAGTAGCATTATATGATTGCATATCTTGTATATAAAATTGTGAGAAGAGAAGGAAATAACTATCTGAGGGAGACAATTAATCGAGAAAACTTAATTCTAGCACAAAATAGAACTGACAAATTGTAAAACTATAAGTATAGAATGTGTTAAGTCTCAAGGTATATATGCCAGATTTCTTATTCTTGATTAAAAAAAGAAAATTCCAAAGATCTCTTGACCTATATAAACGTAAAAAAACTAAGGAATTCTTTTGGAAGGGAAAACTGTTAAGTAAATTATTGAATGGAACATTTTTTTCATTGTATGAATTAATTCCTCCTGATGCCAGTAAAAGTTTAGCAATAAAAAAAATAAAAATAAAAAAAGGGGGGGAGGTAAAATAAAAAAAATTCAAGCTTCGGAAGTAATGATTTGATAAAAAATAGTTTTGAGGAATTGATACTGTAGCATAAGAGCAGTTTCCTTGTCTAAATTGAGTTATATAAATTCAGAAATACATTGAATTTTCTATATTCTGTTTTGAAGAAATTTGGTGTTCTAGTTTGAATTTATGCTCAGTTAAAAATAATTTTTTTTAATGTAGTTCTTTGTTTATCTATATTGGGCATAACATCGATCTTATCAATCATAAATTCAGTAAATTTTTATCTGTGTTTCACAGTCTGGAAAAAAATTCAGTAAACTGTTTTATATCTCAGGTCAATGAAAGCATTTTAATGCAAAGTTCATTGCAGTGTATGTTATAAAGTTTTGAAAAAATTCTCAATCACAAATTTACTTTTAAACATAAAAATTTTCAAATGGTTAAAAAAATAATGTAAATAATGCTTTTTTTTAATTATTATTTTTAAGAAAAAAAATTAAGACTGGGTTTGGTGCTGCCCAATATAATAATTAGGTATAATTTTTGTAAATATTTTTACAAAGCAGATAATTGAGTGTTTTGTGAAGGCAGGTTTGGATAATGACATTTTATTATTGTATAAGAGCAATATCCTGTAGGACATTTTTCTTTTAACTTTTGCATGGGTTTACTATAAATTCTGATCACTTTCCAATTGTTGCCACCAATATTATTGTCCTGATTAGTAATTTAAGAAATTAAATATGAGATCTGTATAAATGTATGTATGTTTCTACTTGTCTAAAATAACGTCCCTAGAGCATCCATTGAATAATTGTATTTTCACCCAATAAGGCATCTGGAAGCCCAATTTGGAATTTGTTCTATTATCTATTTGTGTTTGTAAAAATTAATGGATTTTGGATTAACAACTCGACGATTCAAAGCGAGCAGTGCCAAACGTGTGGAAAAAAAAAAAAATCTCCCAGTGGGATTGGAATTCTAAAGACATCTAAAAACACTTTTAAATAGTTAGGGATTTGCTGTGGAATTGAATTTAGGGTTCAGTGCGAAGAAATGCTATTTAAAAATAAAGGTAACATACAAATGTAAAAAAAAAACAAAAAAAAAAAAAAAAGCCCTTTGGGCATAATTAAAATCTGAAAACATTTCAGATTTTTTAATTTTACTTTTTTTTATTTTTTAATGAAATTCATATTTATCTGTGACAGTAAATCTGCTTGTTGTTTGCAACACATTAATTTTCTGTACATTTGGATGTTAACAGAAATTCAAGACTAGATTTCTCTGACTGGCATATGTCAGAGCAGTTATTTGTTGTCAGAATAGAAACAAGAGTATATTAATGCATCTGTTAGATATGCTGAATTTATAACAGAAAGTGACATTTCACAGTATAAAACCAGTGCAGTTGATTTATGTTAAACAGTATAATTTTATCACTAACAATTGAACATAGATGAATAGAAAATCAATTTTAGCAAATTGCGTGTTAGCACTTTTGGTATTTAGTTTAGTAATTTTTATCATATATGTTTTATACATCCTCAGTTATAAATTAATTAGTAATTTTGAAGTAAATTCATTGTTTGTTATTCTAGTGACTTTGAGGAATTGTAATCAGCTCATGCTAAATTTTTAATTAATTCTTATTTTCTAGATATCATGCAACAGTTTGATCATCCACATATAACTAGACTTATTGGCATCTGTTCTGAATCTCCCATATGGATTGTAATGGAACTGGCAAAACATGGAGAGGTTAGATTAAATCCACTGTTCTAATATTTAGAAATTGTTTTAACTAGTTTATTTATTTATTGCAATCTTATATGTAAAAATTGCTCATGTGCACCATTTTTTCACCTTTTCCTAAATTTGATAAAATTTGCTGCATCTTTTATATGATACTTGTTTTCAAATGATTAATACTTACTTTAAAATGTAATTATCTAAAAAAGTCTAAAAAAATGGAGTCATTATCTCTTCCCCCTTCCAGATTTAAGATAGTAATTAATGGTTATATTGGTTTTTAAGTTTGAATTATCTTTTTTATTGAAATTCATCTAATCTGGCATTTGTGTGCTCAATTTTCAAGAAAATAGAAAGAGAAATTTTACTGTGAAAACTTTATAAGAAGTTTCCTGAGAATATGAAGAGCATGGATTTATCATATCAGAGTATATTTAGATTTTAAAAGGGAAGTACATATGCATCAAGATCTTTAGTTTTATTTGACACTGATTGTAAATCGTTGTTTATTTGTAACAAAAAAGAAAAAAGTAACAATGAGATTGCATCATTTATAATCAACTGTTTCATCTGTTTCAACTCAACATGCAACTTAAATATTACTGTAATAACATCAGTATAAATACACAGAATTTGAAATTAAAATATTGATTACTTGATTTTAAAAATAGGATTTCCTACTGTTCAAGTACTGTTAAACTTCACTATCTTCTTCGACTAGCCATTCATGCTAAATTAGAACTTATAAGTTTATTAATAATAATTTTTATTCTTTATGCTCATATATTAATAATTTTCTTTTATTTACGTAGATGCGAGCGTACCTTCAGAATAATCAATCACGGTTGGATTTAGCTACTTTGATTTTGTATGCTTATCAACTGAGTACTGCTTTGTCCTATCTTGAATGTCGTAAATTTGTTCACAGGTGAAACTTAGTTCTATTAATTCTCAATTTTTTTCTGTTTGAAAATATATATACCTTGCATATCTGATGTCATTTTCATTTTAGCATATTTTCTGTGCAGAAATAAATTTTATGTAGCATTTTATGTTTTTGAGAAGTGGGGATTAGTGCATAAAAGTACTGTGTTGCCTACTGTAACAAATACCTTACACAAGTCTCCCGCATAAAAGACATATAGATATAGCTCTCATTATGAAGTGTGCACAAATACTGTCACACATTATTGTCATATTAAATGCATAGATCGTTTTATTTTTTGTGTAGGCAATGCATAAGTACAAAAAACAAATCTACATACACACACACACACACACAAAAGGGGGAGGGAACAGTGAACAGAAAAGTGGTAAAGTTAGTGTATTCCTGAATATTGTATTTCTATTTAAAGCTGTGAGGAAGCTCAAAGTATTTCTGGTGAGGAGGAGGATAATATAAACGGTGAATT